TGTTTACCAGTCTTAAGATGTTTACCAGTCTCAGGATGTTTACCAGTCTTAAGATGTTTACCAGTCTCAGGATGTTTACCAGTCTCAAGATGTTTACCAATCTTAAGATGTTTACCAGTCTCAAGATGTTTACCAGTCTTAAGATGTTTCCCAGTCTCAAGATGTTTACCAGTCTTAAGATGTTTACCAGTCTCAGGATGTTTACCAGTCTTAAGATGTTTATCAGTCTCAAGATGTTTACCAGTCTCAGGATGTTTACCAGTCTTAAGATGTTTACCAGTGGCAGGATGTTTACCAGTCTCAAGATGTTTACCAGTGTCAGGATGTTTACCAGTCTCAAGATGTTTACCAGTCTCAGGATGTTTACCAGTCTCAAGATGTTTACCAGTCTCAGGATGTTTACCAATCTCAGGATATTTACCAATCTCAAGATGTTTACCAGTCTCAAGATGTTTACCAGTCTCAGGATGTTTACCAGTCTTAAGATGTTTACCAGTCTCAGGATGTTTACCAGTCTTAAGATGTTTACCAGTCTCAAGATGTTTACCAGTCTCAGGATGTTTACCAATCTCAAGATGTTTACCAGTCTCAAGATGTTTACCAATCTCAAGATGTTTACCAGTCTCAGGATGTTTACCAATCTCAGGATGTTTACCAATCTCAAGATGTTTACCAGTCTTAAGATGTTTACCAGTGTCAGGATGTTTACCAGTCTCAAGATGTTTACCAGTCTCAGGATGTTTACCAATCTCAGGATGTTTACCAATCTCAAGATGTTTACCAGTCTCAAGATGTTTACCAGTCTCAGGATGTTTACCAGTCTTAAGATGTTTACCAGTCTTAAGATGTTTACCAGTCTCAAGATGTTTACCAGTCACAAGATGTTTACCAGTCTCAAGATGTTTACCAGTCTCAGGATGTTTACCAATCTCAAGATGTTTACCAATCTCAGGATGTTTACCAGTCTTAAGATGTTTACCAGTCTTAAGATGTTTACCAGTCTCAAGATGTTTACCAGTCTTAAGATGTTTACCAGTCTCAAGACGTTTACCAGTCTCAGGGTGTTTACCAGTCTCAAGATGTTTACCAGTCTCAGGATGTTTACCAGTCTCAAGATGTTTACCAGTCTCAGGGTGTTTACCAGTCTTAAGATGTTTACCAGTCTCAAGATGTTTACCAGTCTTAAGATGTTTACCAGTCTCAGGATGTTTACCAATCTCAGGATGTTTACCAGTCTCAAGATGTTTACCAGTCTCAGGGTGTTTACCAGTCTTAAGATGTTTACCAGTCTCAAGATGTTTACCAGTCTTAAGATGTTTACCAGTCTCAGGATGTTTACCAATCTCAGGATGTTTACCAGTCTCAGGATATTTACCAGTCTCAAGATGTTTACCAGTCTCAGGATATTTACCAGTCTCAGGATATTTACCAGTCTCAGGATATTTACCAGTCTCAGGATATGTTCTGTCTACATGGATAACTCGTCATAAACTGATGAAAGTATTTTAGCCTAAATCAAGTTTTAATAACAGAATGAACATAACTTTAGTTAGGTCCAACCTGTCTTTATCTCGTTAATTGTTATTTATCATGGCATAACTTTTATCCATGCTATAACGTGGTATTATTTTATCCTTATTTATTAAGAAGTTATTTTCATCGTTCGAGTTGGCAATAATTTCAACTTAGTTTTTGATAGTTTTAATCACAAGGTATTTTTAAACCCCCATAAGGACATTTTTGTCATACGTTTAATATCTTTATACTGATAATGTGCAGTTATACTTATTAGTGGCAGTGAATGCTCTTACATGGGTGATACAATATAAAGCCATTCTTAAATATATCCTTGGTAATCCTTAGATAAAACACTATGAGTGGAATATCCACACAACTCTGTATTAGCGTAAACATAGAGGGAAAGAACTGTCAGTAGTATCAGTTACCAGCAGTGTCATAGTAACTCATACCAACCGTTACTGATTCACCGTCCCCCTACATGATCACTGACCATTACTGAGTCATTCTGCTGACCAAGCAGGTTGTTTGAATGTCGCTCGCCCTCTGGGCACGATAGTAGTTCAGAGTAGGGTAGCAGAGACGAAGGTTCAGGCTTGGCGGTTCCTCCTATAGTACTCCTAATTATAAGTACCAGCTTGTCCGAAGTGTGTGTTTATTACCCAATCCATGTTCGAACCCTCACACGACAGAACTGCAGGTTCAACTCATGGAAGGATGAGATGGTTCTAATGCCCCATGATGGCCTCGCTACCTCCTCCAGCTCATGGTAACGACACATCTCATAGTTAATTGTGTTGTAATACGTACGTTTACAACTGGTTTAGAAAACCTACAAGTTGAAGAATGAGATGCTTATGCTACATTTGGGTATCTCTATTTTGGAAACGTTTCGCCAGTGGCTTCATCGGTCCAATTCAGTGAATAATAGTGGGAGATAAGGAGTTCGAGTTAATCAGTCGCTCAGCTTGGAGATAATGTATTTAGTTCAGTCGTTTATCAAGATTTATGGACTGAACACAATATCTCCAGTCTGAGGGACTGATTACCTAAAAACTCCTCCTCATATTTCACTGGTTTTCCTCTGCATTGAACTGATGAAGCCGCTGGATGGTGCAACATTACCAAAATAAAGATGCTGAAACATTGCACATGTATACCATTCAACAAAGCATATGTTATTACCACCCAGGATGCAATGAAAATACCCTTACTAGTGGCGAATATATGAGAAAATTTTCCCCCTGTGGAGGTGAAGCTACAAGCTTTGTCAATATGCTGAGAACATGTAAGCTTAACCTGATGCCACAGCATTCATTTTAGCATTCATCATAGCTTTTATATCTTGACTAACTTGCAATACGAAACCTTTCTTTAAATACATTACTATTTTTTTTTTTTTGGGGGGGGGGGGATGGAGCTCAATTCGTATATGCAATAGAATTTCCTAACCTGTGATACTCTGCCTTTCTGTGGTCTCTCTGAATTTTTATAAGGAACATTATTGCAAGGATGAACAATAATTCTGTGGTTCGTGGGGACAAAAATATGTTGAAATTGACAGAAATGATTCATCTGTTAGTTAATAAAAATGAGTCTTGAATATCACTAATGTCGGAAGCAAGGATTCCCTAGACTCATTATGAGATATTACTGGCCCAGGAGATACACACGAGCGTAATAATGGCAAGATAGAGAAGAAAGTGAAGATTTACCACTTAGGAATTAACTGAGAATAAAATATAGTGTCCCTTTCTTTTGTTCAGAGTGAGAGAGAGAGTGAAAGAGATTGTATACTCACCTAATTGTACTCACTTAATTGTGGTTGCAGAGGTCGAACCATAGCTTCTGGCCCCGCCTCTTCACTGGTCGCCACTAGCTTCACTCCCTGCTACATGAGTTTTATCATACCTCTTCTTAAAGCTATGTATTGTACCTGCCTCCACTACCTCACTTTCCAAACTATTCCACTTCCTGACTCTATGACTGAAAAAATACTTCCTAACATCCCTGTGACTCATCTGAGTCTTCAGCTTCCAATTGTGACCCCTTGTTGGTGTGTCCCATGTGTGCAACATCCTGTCTCTATCCACCTTATCGATTCTTCTCAGTATTTTGTATGTCGTTATCATGTCCCCCCTGTCCCTCCTGTCCTCCAATGTCGTCAGGTCGATTTCTTTTAACCTCTCCTAGTAAGACATGCCCCTTAGCTCTGGGACTAGTCACGTTGCAAACCCTTGCACTTTCTCTAATTTCTTGACGTGCTTGGCCAGACAGAAATCTCCTCAAGATATCTGTTTAATATAATAATAATGGCGAAGGATAATGCCATTTTAAATTTATTTAATTTTCCAATGTGAAAGCCTTTTTTTCGTTTGTGTTGAAGAAGGTAAAATATGATACTTGTAAATAATAATTAATAACATTAGAAAATTAAAGGCTACTAACCCAACTAAGATATTAAATGTACATCGAAGAATGACACTGAGAAAGTCTGACGCCGAGCAGAGAAGAAATTCTCTAGTGAACCAACTACAGTGAAGCTCCGGTTTTCGTACTTAATCCGTTCCAGAAGGTGGTTCTAAAACCGAAAAGTACGAAAACCGAATTAACATTCCCAATAAAAAAGTGTTCTAAATCCGAACTGTACGATATGCAGACAGTACGAAAACCGGAGCTCCACTGTCCTAACGCTTTCATTATCTGTATTGGTATATTTTGCAATTTATACCAGTTTTTTATTTAAAAGTAATGGGTATAATCCACTTCATGAAATTCTGCAGTATTATTAGTTTGAAACCAACCAGAATGAAAATCATTTTCACAGTTTGTTTAAAATTTACAAACTGAGGTTGATAGTCAAATGAGGCGGCGATGCATGTACTCAGGAAGACACACTGGTATTATAAGCTTGAATCCAATATAACGAGGAGCTCTGCGGCTATAACCTGGATTCCATAAATTCCAAGCTTTGAAATTTTAGTACATTGTCGAATTTCTTCCAACTCAAACTAAACATATTGCACAGTATCCAGTCCGTAAGATTCATGAACTAGTATATAATGAAGCCATTCTGAAGAGGTACACTTAAATGTATTTAATATGATTTAACTGTAATAAAAATCTCTCAATTTTTCACTTAAAATTAGTAGTTGTGCACCAACACGCTGAGACGTTCCATCAGTACCAATGTCGAATTAGGAGGCACCATTCTTTTAAGGGTTTGAACCCAGCAGGAGAGGATTTGGGAACTTATTAGAGCAATTTGAGGCATCTTTTAGTGAGTACCTCAACTTTGGTTATAGAGTACCTGTACTTGCCAATAGTTGCACGAAGTTTGCTTTAGTTGTGGTACATCAGTGTTTAAAATTTGAAAAAAAGAATCGATGCGGAGTCGTGAAGAAAGAAGAATTCAGGGAAGCACTGAAATGCTGCCTGTTTCAGGATACCTGATCGGAAGAGGCGGGGAAGGTAGTACTGACCTGAACTCTGGAGGCCGGTGTGAGGCCAGTGAGTTCCCTCCACGTAGCCTCGGAGCCGCCTGCCCCAACAACATCCCTCACTGCCACCTGCAACACCAACCCTGTTGTTATTACTATAATGAACACACTACCTGTATCACTAGTCACCACACTGCCTGTATCACTACAGTCACCACACTGCCTGTATCACTAGTCACCACACTGCCAGTATCACTACAGTCACTACACACTGCCTGTATCATCACACTCACCACACTGTCTGTATCACTACAGTCACCACACTGCCTGTATCACTACAGTCACCACACTGCCTGTATCACTAGTCACCACACCGCCTGTATCACTATCACCACACCGCCTGTATCACTAGTCACCACACCGCCTGTATCACTAGTCACCACACTGCCTGTATCACTACTCACCACACTGCCTGCATCAGTAGTCACCACAAACAACCTGTCTCACCATACCAACCCCACACACAACCTGTCTCACCATACTTACTCCACACGCAACTTGTCTCACCATACCTACTCCACATACAACTTGTTTCACCACTACACTTTCTACACACTACTTCTGTTAACTTGTATACTCTCCATAAATCATTTCAGGCACCACCACACTCCACAGTGCATGCAATACCTTTGCTGTTGTTTCATTAGTGGAGTCAGTAGTAACTCACCTGGTCATCTCTGGAAGAGTAGAGAGTGTAGTGCAGGATGGCACCAGTGTATGGGTAAGGTGGTGCCCACGTTACTAGCAGTGTAGTGCCTCCAGTCACTACCACCCTTACCCTTCTAGGAGGACCTGGCACTGAGGAAAGGTAATTAATGGCACTGAAAATTCTGATTCAAATGAAAAACTGTGGTCTTATATTTGCTATTCAAAGAGTAATCTGAATATACGAGATAATCTCTTTTCTGACTTGCAAGTCTGTTAATTTAAATGTAGTAAATTTAATAAAGTTTAACATTAATACACGAGTTAAAAATGAAGGTGTTTACCATCATCTTCCGTGATACAGAATATTGGGTTATGCGAGGGACTGTAACCGATCTCGTTGAATGCTTTCACACGAACACTGATGTTAGTGGCTGGTGGGAGACCGTCAAGGTTCTTCTCTAAGTTGGTCGTGTTGACCTCCCACGTACTACCTGCCAGACACAACACAATTTACTCTGCAGGTCAAGATAGCGGATGTGGAGAAAAATTCTCCAGAAAGGATGGTATCAGCCCCTTTCAGCCCCCCTGAAGGACTCTACCCTCTCGTAAAGGGCAAATGGCATCTTGCTTTGTGATAAACAGTTTAATTGATACCACTTGCAACTAGAAGCATCAATAGTCACTCCACCTCTATGGAGTAGTGTTAGTGTAATACGAGTGACAGAGAATTGAGAAAATGGACTCTTTTTATCTTGGCAGGAAAATTAAGGAAAACCCTGCATCAATTTATTAACAATGTGGGACAATAATAATGAACCGTCGACGACAGGTAGATACCAGAAAATCTATCACTTGTACTGAAACTGTGACGATGTTAAGGAAGGAAGAGTAATAATGCTGAATGCAGCAAATCCTTTGTAAGGAGGACGTACCCTGGGCGAAGACCGCTGCAGAGGTCAAATTGCTTTAAGAACTGGAAGGGGAAACCTGCTTGACGCCGGGATAACTAAGAACACTAGTAATCCAGGCATTTTTGTTTCTCAGTGACAATCTCAACAATTCGTAGTAGAACTGTTACAGTGAAGCATACTTGTCTTCCTGTTGTGACATTACTACGAAAGGACAAATTTTGAAGAACAGTGTAATGTCACAGTGCGAGTGATGCAATTTCCCATCTGAGTGGAGAAAATTGTGAGGAACTGCAGTTTCTTATGACACAAGGCGATTGAAGCCGTCCTATAAACGGCAGTGAGGTGTGGGCTCTTGAGCCCAAACAAGTGTACATCAACTCAGCATTGTTAAATGAAATGGTGATACATACGTTCCTTTGGGGCAATTATATACTCATTAACTGAATTTTCCACAGCCCAAGGGCTGGAGTTTGGCGGCTCCTCTAAGAAAGGACCAGGGGCGGCTGCGGAACTTTGAACCGTCCGTCAAGCTAAGTACCTTTCTATAGTCCTGTACCTTGCTTGTCTTAAGCTCCAATACCTCACAACGGTTATGCAAAAATCTTAGTTTTAATCTTTTTCGTGACAAGCCAATGAATCAGCAGAAGTTTATTTTCATTCGTGTAACTTCGTGTAAGAAGAGTGAAAATGAGGATTTTGAGAGAGGTGAGAGATAGAGAGAGACAGAGGCAGAAACAGAGAGAGAGAGAGAGAGAGAGAGAGAGAGAGAGAGAGAGAGAGAGAGAGAGAGAGAGAGAGAGAGAGAGAGAGAAGAGAGAGAGAGAAGAGAGAGAGAGAGAGAGAGAGAGAGAGAGAGAGAGAGAGGAGAGAGAGAGAGAGAGAGAGAGAGAGAGAGAGAGAGAGAGAGAGAGAGAGAGAGAGAGAGAGAGGGAGAGAGTTTGGGGTATGAGAGTGTTTGGGATCAAATTTATGTAAACGTAAAAAAAAAAATGGTGAAAAATATCAAACTTGAACAGAAATCCAGCAACATTTTAGTTTCTTGCTTGTATAAATCTTTCTCACTTTTGATCCTGGTTGGCGAAACATTTCCTCAATAAAGATTCCCATAGATTGGACAAATGTCTCATTATTCAACTTGTCTGGTTTCTAAGTCATTTACATCACATGAAACAAATGCTGAGTGCCTCTTCTGACCGGGTTCAACCATCACTGCTATTATATTGATCCTCCAAATTCTCAGATTCAAATTCTGTGGTTAGTTTTTCCCAGGTTCCAGAAGAGCAAGAAAACTGTCTTGGGTTCTTACCACTACACACAGACACTCGGTTTATATTTCCCCCACACTCTCGCTTTACTTCTGTTTTTTATGAGATGGGTGACTCCATGACCTATAATTTTCTGTATTGTATATTATCAGGTAATTAAATGATACATTGTACCTCCACAGGATTCTCTTAATACAGCTAACGTTTTAATGTCATTTTATGTACATTTATCTATCTTAAAGTGGTTAATTAATAAAAAAGTATAAGTATACATAATATTCGATTAAAGGCATTTGGTAATTTACTTGTTCTTTATTTTAATGCTTTGGAATATTTATTTCATTTATCTACTAAAGAAACTTATGCAGAAATTACTGGTGTATAATGGACCTGTTAAAAATTGTGGGTGAATATTTGAAGATTTTGCTTAATTATAAGGAAAATACTTTTGTTTGGTTTCAACTTATCGCTAAGTTCTAGACGTGATCTGATATAGATCAACGTTGATTAACCTATTTGTGTTTGGTTTATGTTCTAAGGAGTGTTCAGCTGATTAAATTCTCACTGGCGTTGATTTGTTGTTGCTTACTAAGTCGCTACCTCCTTCTCTACTGCGGTCTACAACTTAATGCTTATGACAAGCATGAAAATAGGTAGTTAGAGGCGATGGCAACGTTACAGGTGCAATTTCCAAGACTGCTTGTAAGAAGTACCATGTACCTGCTAGCTTAATGGGCCCAGAGTCCAGTGGGGGTTCGTGCGGGGGTGCTGTGGAACTGCAGCACCTCCTGTTTTCACTCGATATTCTCGATAACATTCAATATAATGCGTCTTTTTTTCTTTAATTCTTTCTTTATACTTGTAAATTATATAATCAAAGAATTAATGAAAATAGGGGGTGCTGCAGTTCTGCAGCACCTGCACACGAGCCTCCACTGGCCCTGACACACAAATTATCAGAACTTCCTGTCTTCTGTTCTGACTTCCTTCCTCGAGGGGTCGCCAAGTATCTTATCCTCTATATCGAGAAGCACTGTTGTATCTCAAAGTGCCTGTCAGCCCACCTTTTTCTTCTCGTACAAACGTTGAGTATTCTGGCCCACTTGGTAACTTATTTCTCTTGCTGATAAATGCATTAAATGTCCTATTCTACTCATTTTGCTTCCTGAATCCAGCTCTGTTCCACTAAGAGCCAGCAACCGTTTTCTCTTATTTATTATTAACCTCAGGAGCACTTACAAAAATGCCGGGTCAAGAGTCAGCCTCTTAGCGGCTATTCTTGAGTGAATGTAATCCGTTATGTCTTCTGTTCTTTTCTGTTTCCTACTGTTTCAGTTTTTTTCACCGAAACTGATTTTTATAGATGCCGTTGCATCTGCGATCGGTCAGCCTTACTACCCTGGATTCTTCTTATCTAATTGACCTTTGTTGTTAGTATGCAACCCAGACAAACATGTGTGTGTATATGCGAAGAGCATAATAAGGTAACATAAACCGTCGAACAAGAACAAGTCGAACCGGTTCATTTACATATTAGACTGACGTAGTCATTGAACGTAGTATCACCAGACTCGATAACATGAAAGTCAAGCTGTTTCTTACGACGCCTGATAGTTATAAAGATGGTTATAAATCCCCCTTTTGCTCATACGTGGTTGCTCTTAATTTCAATATTACAAAAGCCTGCTCAGCATGTGACCATTGATATTGATGGGTATATATCCCTATAAAATGTACACTCAATACTTAACACTTGACACGTGGAGCCCACTTTCACATTTCTTTTTTCTTTGATCAAAAACTGGCGCTGTACTCTCGATATTATTGTAACTACACTTCAGTGCACTCTCATTATGTCTAATTTCTCAGTCACAAAACATTAAGCAATGTATCTTTGTATCAATGGTATTGTTGACTTTCTTATTATTGCTCCCTTCATGTTGGTTAATTGACTAAATACCTACAGAAGCCTAACAACTGGTTGCTCATTCTCAAGTCATTCTTTCTGGAATTTCTAGTGCTGCACTGCCTCTACTAGCTGTTAGCAAAACCACAACTAAGGCTCTCCAGTAACTACCCGCGGAATGCTATTGCATGAAAACCCACAGTTCAATTACCAACAAAAGTTACTCTGTCGCCTCGCATGGCACCATAAAACCTCATTGTTTTATGATGGCAAATAAAACAGAAAAATAGAACAAAACCCAAATAAAACGGTTAGGAAATTATTGAAGGATCTAATCAACCTTTCATACTTACTGCCACTAGTGTGACGGTGCTCGGTGGGAGTGGCCATGACGGTGTAACCAGTGACGGGGGCATATGCACAGTGGGTAGGCGGGGGAGACCACCACACCCTGACACCACCTCGCCCTGACCCACGGCACGACGCTCCCGCCGGTGGACATGATGGTGCTGCGACAGAAATAGAAAACTGTAAATATTGTATTAAAACAAGTACTGCATGAATGTCTGCATCTGAATAATAGATGACCTTTAGAAGGGTAACTCCAGCTAAGAAGACCAGATGGCAGCCACAAGCACCTTGATGGATTCCCCTTGCTACTCTGGAGGAACAGTAAGCAAATAGTATGATGCTTCACATATAAACTACTATGGCCGACACTAGCCTCCCAAAACATTGAAGCTGAACGGGAAGGTGCTACCAGATACAGAGAGACCCGTTTACCTTATGGACTACATGATCTTGAGTGCTATGTGAAAAGAGATACCGAGAAAGCTTTTGGAGGTGTAGGATGAGACAGTAGCCTGAAACTTGGTGACGGCTGCCACAATATTAGAAAATTGTTGACTGTTAAATCCTGATTAATACAGTACTCAGCCTGCCATACACACCCATCATAGTTCTGTATATATGTCTGTAAGTGTCCCCTTTATCTCTATGTCTCAAGACCCTTATCATACATCTTCTTAAAGTTATGTATGGATCCCACCTCTTCACTCTCCAGATTGTTCCACTTCCTGACAATCCTAAGGATGAAGAAAATACTTCATAGTGTATAGTATAGACATATATGTGGTTGCATGACTGATCAGTTATTTATCCAATTAAGTCATTAGTTGAAACCAGTCCAAGAAACTGCCATCCCATTCCCAGTTAAGTGAACTGCTTACCTCTGACTTCAAACAAGGTAGTGAATGTCGGTGTAGGTGCGTCTTTCATGAGCTGAAGAGCAGTGGAAGATTTTTCACATGTGGACAGTACCAGTAATATACATACAAATACGCATTCATTAGTACTGTTAAGAAACACTTACCATTTTGAGGTGTTGCGGTCTGTAGAATATTAACTTCCGTTATGATGATCACCAAATATGTCTTGAGCCACTGGCTTCACCTTGCTTTTGTCCAGGATAAAAGTTGCCCAGTTATGTATAGTGACAACTAAGAATAGTCTCATTCACGTTATAATGTAAATAGTGAGCGGTAATATTTTTCATTGTACTAGCTTAGTATAGGGTAAATAGCCCTCTTTAACTAGGCAGTTAACTGACGTGACTGGGCGAGGTTCATTCGTCTACACTCTCATTGTTACATGTGGTGGTTCGTGAGTGGCATGGGTAGCCTGCGTACCCTGGTTGCTGGTACAAGAGGGTGCCTACTATTGTTACTTTGTGTAGGCTGGGATAAAAGTAATTATAGATACTAAACTAAATTAATTTGTCTAGCTCAAACTTAGCTGAAGTACTTAAAAAAAGTGGTACGGAGGAGGAGGTGCAGAAGCTGCTAAGTGACCTTGCTACCACAATTTAGTGATGTAGCCTATAAAGGCTACATCACTAAATTAATCTTATAATATATAGTTGCAGAAGAACGTGGCAGTGTCGGGTGCAGTCACTGTCTACCATCGACTCTCTCACAGAGAATTTGTCGGGAAAATAGGTGCTTGATTTTCCCATACCTAACATCCCTATGACTCATCTGAGTTTTCAACTTTCAGTTGTGCCCTTTTCTTGTGTCCCATCTCTGAAGCATTCTGCCCCTGTTCACCTTATCAAATCCTCACAGTAGTTTGTACGTCATAATCATATCTCCCCTAGCCCTCCTGTCCTCCAATGTGTGTGTGTGTGTGTGTGTGTGTGTGTGTGTGTTTAGCATCTCAGGCAACACATATTTTGAAAATCGAGAAACATTAAGAAAATATTTCTACACGATGTTTGTCATAAGTTATCAATGGTAAGAACACTGGAAGAGCGACCAGGGCGGCAGTAAACACTTGCTCTCTTGCTTCTGCTGGATCAAATGGTCTGTTTGTACTGGTGTAAGCCAGCAAAGCAAACATGTAACTGGGTGATGTTTACGTGAAACTCAACACATTTCTCTTCAACTGTCTTAGTTGTGTTAACATAAGAACGTAAGAAAATAAGAAAGAAGGAACACTGCAGCAGGTCTACTGGCCCATGCGAGGCAGGTCCAATTCTCCCACTGGCTTAAGCCAATGACCTAGTCAGGTCAGGTCACATTCACTCAAGGAGATCAATTCTCCTCTCATTTGACAGAATTTTTGGAATGATCTCTACAACACAAAAATATTTTTAAGATAGATTAATTACTCCAGCTATATTTTACAGGACAATTAAATTGACCAAACTTTCTAAAAATCTTCTAATTACATAACGAAATAATTTTCTTCTCAAAGTATTTTATTGACTTAAATTTCCATTTTTTCACTTTTTTTTGGCTATTTTGTTTTGGTGGGTAAATAAGACATTATTTTATAATTAAAATTTATTAATGTTATATTTAATTCTTTGAAAAAGCGAACTAACAAAGGTCTAATTTTTGCATCTTTAGAAACTAATAATTACCATTTATTTTTTCATATTTATCTAAGATATGTAATTAGCTCTGCTTAAGAACAAGTCAATATAACATTTTTGTTAAATTGTGAAACATAACTGTTATAATAATATAAGAATCGTTTCCAAGACTGGTAACGTAACTTTTTCATTCTATAAATGTTAGTGGTGTTTTAACAATGTTTACAATACAATTCGATTTAGATAACTCACAAAGTAGATAGTGTAGTCTACTCGCTGCTGTTGCCGATGGTATACACTCAGCGTAACAGCTAAGGACATACTAGAGTAGTATGAGAGGGAATCGGCTCCCTCTCATAAGTTGTAGTGTGTATTCACCATCGTAGGAAGTGCAGTGTACTCACTATCGTGAGTAAAGGGAAGTACTCAACTTCGTAGGTGGAGTGTACTTCCCGATGAAGAAAGAGAAACTTACTCACTTTCTACTGAATGGAGTCTACTCACCATCTTAGAAAGTGCAATTTAATCACCTTCCATGTAATGGGAATCTACTCGTTGTAGACAGAGAATCCCAGTTACCGCCTTAGTTACTGGAAACTACATGAAGGCTGCTCAATGAAGTAGGTAAAGAAATCTACTCACCATCGTACGACGTAGAGTCTACTATCCTGGGTGAGGAGAGTGGTCCTGGACCTGCCCTTGTGAAGGCTCTCACAGCCACCTCATATAGAGAGGCTGGAGTCAAGTCCCTGACCTCATACTGCTCCACCGCCTCTCTGTCTCCTGTGTTCAGGTGAAGGGGAAGTGATGGATCAGTGGTCAGAAGATGAACTGTTGAATCAGTGTTCAAGGGTATAATGTTGGAACACTGGTCAGGGGAACACATAGTGTTGGGTTAGTCAGTGGGTATATGGTGATGGATCAGTAGTCAAGGGAACAGTGGTGGATTAGTGTTCAAGGGGACATACACTATTTGATTAGTAATTAGAGGGAAACATTATTGGATCAGTGGTTAGCCGGACACATTCACGGAGAAGTGGTCAAGGGAACACAGTGATCGAACAGTGGTCACGGAGACACACAGTGTTGGATCAGTAATTAGGGAAGACATAATGGTGGATCAGTAGTAAGGGGGACATGGTGTTTGTTCAGTTGTAAGGATGGACACTGGGATTAGTGGTAAGGGAGCTACAAAGCGTCGGATCAGTGGTCACAGGAATAATGTAGATTAGTGGTCAGACGAACACTAATTGGATCAGTGGTCAGGAGACACAGGGAGTTGGACCATTTTGCATAAGACACATGATATTTTGTCAGCGGTAAGTGAAATACTCGGTGTTAGATCAAAGGTCAGTTGAGAACCATGTATCAGTTTTCGTTGGGGTGTACAACATTGGATCAGTGATCAAGGGTGACGCACCTCGCTTAATCAGGGTAGTTGGATTAATTTTCAAGAGACATAAAATGTTAATGAGAAGTCAGTGGGGACAGAATATGGCGTCAATGGCCAAAGGGGATATACAGTATAGGATCAGTCATCATTGATCTCAGCACCGAAGCTGTGGTTATGGAGACAGTGTTGGATCAACTATCAGGAAGACAGTACAGAATCAGTTGTAGATGGCAACTCTTATGAACAAATTTGAGGATTAGTCGAGCATGCCCACTGACCCAGGTGTGGACGAGGACGACTTGTGAGTACAGTTCTCAATATAAACTAGAGCAAAAGTTCTGGCAATTTATTGAAGAATACGTTTCTCTTGTAATAAATATCCAGAACTCATCCTAAAACTGAAAGAAAATATTTAAAAGAGTAGAGATCAATTTACGAATATTAGGAATGCTAAAGCAAAGGAAAGTACGTTTTTAAGGTAATGATATTAAAGAATGGTAGGAAGATGTTATGCAGAAGTTGATTAAAATAACGTTGACCTCATATATTACCTGTGAGGTCAAAGTTACATGTATTAGGATGCCCAGTCAGACCACAGGAATCAAACTGATAATGAAAGAGTCTTTAATAGAAGAACAACCTCTGGAATTGACAACTCAAATGAGAGAATTACAAGACTTTCCATCATCCACCTCCACTTATAAAAACGTGACTGAAGATAAATAAAAATCTACAATCTTGTTCTCTACATTGTAGGCAGATATCAGTGTGTTGCTGACTCTTTCTGATTCTTCTGACTTTTGCTGAATGTGCTGACTGATTAAAAAGTTAACCAATGGCTATAGGCTAGAAATTTAGTCACTATTACAGAAGTGTGCATATTAATTGGGACAGTGATGAAAATAAATTTTTATTAAATAAAATGGTAATGATGTAACATTATTATTATAATCAAAAAGAAGCGCTAAGCCATAATGATGTAACAGATAATTGATTTAATAAGAGATATGACTACACTTTGCTGCACACACATTGAACACATTTTGGCAAGTTATTTATGGTAGCACCAGGTCCTAATAACAGCAGCAATTAGCTTCCCCAGTTGAAAAGTCTTGTCTCGCGATCCAGTGTTTGGTTATTGCTCATAGATTCTCAGTTGGGTTGAGGTCAGGAGAATTTCCGGGTCAGTTTAGAACGCTTAACTCACTCTCTTCGAAGAATGTCAGCATTTGTCTGGAAGTGTGGCATGGAGAAAATTCCTGCTGTAAAATGCCTTCTCCATCAGGAAAGCCTATCCACAATGGAATAAATGAGTTTCCAGGATTGCCTTCTATTTGTCACTGTTCATCATTCCCTCAACAATAACAAGCCATACAGGGTCTTTAGCAGTGAAACTTCCCAAAAACATATTCTTAGGTGGGTGTTTTGGTGTTTGTTGAATGTGTCCATTCCGAAGACATTCGCCTATGCTCCCTTTCACTACCACTGATCTGTACCCATGTGCTTCAAAATGCGCCTCGTCTAAAAAGATAATTTTCCTCTTTATCTGTCGTCCAGCTCAGCGCAGCCGTTATCTCTTCATAGCAGCAGCCAATAATGGTTCCTTTACTGGCTTCCTGGCAGTTCTGCTAACTTCAAGCCATTATCGAGCAATTAAAGAATCAACATTTACGCCAAAGATCTGCGCTGTAGATCTTTGCTGGTTTTACAGGGATCTTCACGTTATTTCTCATGATAGCCTTGTCATCGTGAGGTGTTGCCTTGCGTTTTCTTCTTTATCTTCCTCAGCTCAGCGTCCCTCAATCACCAGTGTCGTCAGTTGTCTTCAGACTCCGACCAACAGTTGATTTAGCTGTCCTACATTTTCAGCAATCTGTCTGAAACTTAAATCAACATTTTTTGTAAGAGTTATATTACTTCCACACTTCCTAGGTGTAACATCTACCATAAATTTCAGTAGTAATCATGAACTGAAAGGGAGAATGTGGAAAAATCACATTCACAGGAATAGGAATAGCCTTACAGAACAACCGCTTTTGTAGCACTTTGGAGAGTCGCAGTTTAACACTACAACTGGATGATTGGCAGAAGTCGATAGCAATATCTTCTGAGAAGGAAAGATCCCAAGCTAAATTATTTAAGCCGGAGATTAAGACATGAGATAATCACAAAATTTCCTTATGTCCCAGTTAGTTTGCACACTATTGTAATCTCACTGTAATATAGGCCATTTGAGGCTAAAACAATAAATATCACAGTGACAATCCTCCATGCTTGTATGAGAACCTGAAACGTCAACAGCAGTCAATTATATGTCCGGGGAGTGTAAAGTATAGCAAGTTATCTTTATATTTATTTAATAAAAATTATTCTTGGTGGGCGTGGATTATATAAATATTATAACGGACCATCATGAATGGTTCAAGATATAGTTTTCTGCAGTTTCCAGGCGATAGTTTCAGCATATGTCTATCTATCTATCTGTCTGTTGATATATTGCAGGGGAACAGTGCTGATGCAGAAGGCAAGAGATCAGTGCTGATGTAATGGGCATGGGAACAGTGCTGATGCAGCGGGCAAGGGAACAGTGTTGATGTAGTGGGCATGGGAATAGTGTTGATGCAGCGGGCAGGGGAACAGTGTTGATGTAGTGGGCAGGGGAACAATGTTGATGTAGTGGGCAGGAGAACAATGTTGATGTGGTGGGCAGGGCAGCAATGTTGATGCAGTGGGCAGAGGAACAATGCTGATGCAGTGGGCAGGGAAACAGCATTGATGCAGTGAGCAGGGGAACAGTGCTAATGCAGTGAGCATTAGAAAAATGTTGATGCAGAGGGCAGGGAAAGTGTTGATGCTGTGACTAGGGGAACAATGTTATTGGAGTTGACAAGGAAACAGTGTTGACGCAATGGGCAGGGAAACAATGTTGATGCAGTGAGCAGTGGAACAGTATTGATGCTGTGGGCAGGGGAACAGTGTTGATGTAGTGGCAGGGGAACAGTGCTGATGCAATGGGCAGGGGAACAGTATTGATGCAGTTGACAGGTAAACAGTGTAGCATCAGTTGCCAGTGAAAACTTGTTGGAACAAATATCAAGTGGATCCGTAGTCAAGGACACGCATTGCTGTAATAGTTGTCAAGAGACAGGACAGTTTTCGATCAAGGGTTAGAAGAGTACGGCGTTCGGTCATCGGTCAGGGGCACACGATGTTAATTAAGTGGTCAGGAGAAGAGAATATTGGATCATTAGTCAGGGAGATGGGACAGTATCAGATAGAGGACTGAGCTCTAGATCAGTAGTCAGATCAGTAGGCAGAGAACAGAGCGTAAGATCAGTAGACAAGTGGCAAAGCTAGATCAGTGGTCATGGATATACACAGAATTAGATTAGCGGTAAGGGAGACAGGGTTGGATGAGTGATAAGGGGAGAGTGTTGGTTAAGTATTCAAGCGGACATACATAGTGTTAGACTAGTTGTCATGATGACGTGTGTTGGATCTGTTGTTACGACACAAAATGTTGGATCAATGGTCATGTGGATAGTGTTAGACAGGCTATACAGTGTTGGATCAGTTGTCAGTGGGCGCACAATGCTGAATTAAATGGTCAGGGGGAGAATGTAAAAGTTGATGCATGGATAATTACATTATTGAAAATACTATTTTTCGATGTCAGGCAGTAAACTGCAAGGAAACGCGAAGGCTGTTTACTGAAACGACATCACTACAAGTGAAAAATAGAAATAGAAATGAAAATACATTATTAATTATGTGCTCATTATTCACCTGCAGCAATCGTGACGGGTCTGGTGATGTAGGTTAGGTGCCCCTGCAGGTTCTGGCGACGAAGGGCGATGGTGTAGCCACTTAGAGGACCGTGGATGAGGTGGGGTGCTGGAGGCCGCCATGACACTAGCAGAGAACGAGGACCAGCAGCCGCAACACGCACGTTCTGAGGCGCTCCAGAAGGCGCTAGTAATGACCACATAAATAGTGTCTTGCTATACGGAACTAAAAATTCATTCACTGAGAAACAATAATATTTTAGGAGTGTAAAAGCGACATAACAGGACGCGGTTAGGATCATTAGGCACCCAGACTGCTGACTGTGTTCAAGGCAACACATCGATCTGGCCACATCACTAAACGTAGGGTTAGCTCGGTGTTAACTGATGCCTAGCGGGATCATGACTTTTGTATTTAGGTCAGCCATTACGGGCACCTGCATGACCAGTCTGACCCACGTATGCATGATCGCGCACAATGCTCGACACAAAGCAGACATAAATCACAATAGTTGGTGTGGACCTTGCCTAGCCACGAATTACGTCCGCCACCATGTCCAGGTCGTAACTTTCTTAACCCCATCAGGGAAGTCAGACGACCGAGTCTCTCAAGGACGACCGAGTCTCCAGGTTTAACAATTACACTTAAAAAATATACGTCCTCGGCCTCAGATTATTACATATTATAACTACACTCGTTAATTTATTGATAATCGCTAATATTTTAGCGATTTATGTTATTCACTTAAGCCATTGCAAATGATACAAGTGGTAACTCGCCTCACAATACCAGACGTCCAATGCTAATTCAAATTAACTATCGCAATTTCCTGCACACTCACAACTTTTCTTTAGCTCTAGTCAATAATTTAATCAGGCTAAGAATTATTTAATTTTATAACTCTCATAATTAATGCAAGGCTCTCAGTGCTCTGTATAGGATTACGAAAACTTTTAACATTTGACCCTCTTAGCTATAAAATATCCACAAATTAAAATAAATGACTAAAAAGAGTGAAATATGATTTATATATATCATCGATACCATTCCTAATCCTTCTAGGGTAGGGTAGGTGCCTGAGCCCGAGCCTTTAGCTCATAAGACTGTCATTCCTATTAGGCCCCTTGGGACGGGGATGGCAGACCAGCGAGGCCTAGCTTGTGGCTAGGCCTGGGGACAGTTGGTCCCAAAGATGAGGGGGTACTTGTGCCTCCTCCCATGGGAGACTTAGGTCTCAGACATTCCCTAAAGAGGGAGCCAAGTCCGGGCCACCAATTGGAAAAGGCCCGGGCCGGGAGAATACCCACGAATATTTAATAATAATAATAATAATAATAATAATATGATTTATATCGTATTTTCTTCATTAACAAAACCTTTACTAGACAGGTTCTGTGCAACAGCTTACGTGCAATGTCACTCTTGTTAACAATCATTAAAGTTTTTGTCCCACTTTTGAATCTGATAGTCTTTTCTCTATTTCAAAACATTGAAGTTGCATTCACCTGCAGCTATTGATGAGGATTAACCAATAAAAACAGGCAATACAAATATGATAATCAGAAAAATTCCAGTGACCCCAACTGAGAGTAATTCTTTTACTGTGTTTAGTGATAATTATTAATTCCACAAAATACTTGCTCATAAACACTCATTTATTTCTTACATTTCAAAACGTTGTACCAGTCAATTTCTAAAGTCTCGATTTAGATATAAGACTATGTAATATCCAAAGATATTTTCTGAAATCAAAATTTCTTTTCGAAATCAATCACTCTAAGGTACATTAACACCTTCAATGTGAGGTAACTCAGCCCCATCTAAGGTACATTAACACCTTCAATGTGAGGTAACTCAGCCCCATCTAAGGTACATTAACACCTTCAATGTGAGGTAACTCAGCCCCATCTAAGGTACATTAACACCTTCAATGTGAGGTAACTCAGCCCCATCTAAGGTACATTAACACCTCCAATGTGAGGTAACTCAGCCCCATCAAAGGTACATTAACACATTCAATTTGAGGTAACTCAGCCCCATCTAAGGTACATTAACACCTCCAATGTGAGGTAACTCAGCCCCATCAAAGGTACATTAACACCTTCAATGTGAGGTAACTCAGCCCCATCTAAGGTACATTAACACCTTCAATGTGAGGTAACTCAACCCCATCTAAGGTACATTAACACCTTCAATGTGAGGTAACTCAGCCCCATCTAAGGTACATTAACACCTTCAATGTGAGGTAACTCAGCCCCATCTAAGGTACATTAACACCTTCAATGTGAGGTAACTCAGCCCCATCTAAGGTACATTAACACCTCCAATGTGAGGTAACTCAGCCCCATCTAAGGTACATTAACACCTCCAATATGAGGTAACTCAGCCCCATCAAAGGTACATTAACACCTTCAATGTGAGGTAACTCAGCCCCATCAAAGGTACATTAACACCTTCAATTTGAGGTAACTCAGCCCCATCTAAGGTACATTAACACCTTCAATGTGAGGTAACTCAGTCCCATCTAAGGTACATTAACACCTTCAATGTGAGGTAACTCAGCCCCATCTAAGGTACATTAACACCTTCAATGTGAGGTAACTCAGCCCCATCTAAGGTACATTAACACCTTCAATGTGAGGTAACTCAGCCCCATCTAAGGTACATTAACACCTTCAATGTGAGGTAACTCAGCCCCATCTAAGGTACATTAACACCTTCAATGTGAGGTAACTCAGCCCCATCTAAGGTACATTAACACCTTCAATGTGAGGTAACTCAGCCCCATCTAAGGTACATTAACACCTTCAATGTGAGGTAACTCAGCCCCATCTGAGGTACATTAACACCTCCAATGTGAGGTAACCCAGACAGATGGCTTACACACTAGCACCTACTTGTTCTTGGTGAACCGACGTAATAGGTGACTGAAAAGGCACATAAGCAGTATAATGTGATCCATTATTGACAACGTTTCGCCCACACAGTGGGCTTTATCAAGTCACAAACAAATCTTTGTGACTGTATAAAGCCCACTGTGTGTGCGAAACGTTGTCAATAATGGATCACATTATACTGCTTATGTGTTTATTTTTCCATTGTGTCGGTATTTTATACCATTTATTTCCAGTAAGAAGGCACAGCTATAATAAAAGACGATCAACTTTTCTAAGGGTCTTCCATTTTTTTCTGTTTGTCACAAAATGAAAAATAATGTACGTGTGTGGGCTGAAGTGTGTGTCTTGTTCACGTACAATTTTCCTAACCATATCAGGACTTTACTCTTTGTTTATCTGGAGAGAGTTCCGGGGGTCAACGCCCCCGCGGCCCGGTCTGTGACCAGGCCTCCTTAGGTCAGTGTCCCAGGATGCGACCCTCACCAGTCGACTAACACCCAAGTACCCATTTTACTGATGGGGAACATAGACAACAGGTGGAAAGAAACACGTCCAATGTTTCTACTCTGGCTGGGAATCGAACCCAGGCCCTCACCGTGTGAAGCGACAGCGTTAACCACCAGGCCACCAGAGCCAATTATTTTTTCAGTTTAATATAATGATGCAGGTTATTTAACTAATCGGCAGTCTTAAAATGTTGATATTTTTGCTAGTCTGGGAAATCATAAACAAATCTTATGAGAGTGAATTATTCTTAAAAAAATTGTCGGGAAGTATTCTAGAAGTAAATGGATTAAATAGGCCTAGAGTAATATAACCTCATTATTTTAATCAATTAATTTGTTCCGTGAAGACTGTACTAAGAAAGTTAAGAGGCAAGTAAGTTCCCATGTCTTCTAAGATGTTCATTTTTCCACTATAATTACATCGTATTTGCTTTGTCTGTTTCGTTAGGTGAAGTCTAAGATCTTTGTCCATGGTATAACTTAAGTCTAAGTCCTTCAAGATTTGGTAAGCTATACCATGTGATGAATGGTTTTGAAAACCGACAAGTTGAAGAATTGAGACACTTATGCAACATATGAGAATCTTTATTGAAGAAACGTTTCGCCACACAGTGGTTTCATCAGTCCAGTACAAAGTAGAAATGGGTAAGGAGAGGAGAAGTTTGAGGTAATCAGTCCCTCAACCTAGAATCGATGTGTTCATAAGTGTTGCATAAGTGTCTCAGTTCTTCAACTTGTCGGTTTTCAAAACCATTCATCACATCTGTCAGACACTGCAACATCATGGGATCTTGGTACAAAGACTTCAACTCTTGCCCAAGCTTTGGACGACGACCTACTTACACTAGTGGCAGGTCCCACTGTGATCCCGCCTCCTCCTGCTACTTACACTGGTGGCAGGTCCCACTGTGATCCCGCCTCCTCCTGCTACTTACACTAGTGGCAGGTCCCACTGTGATCCCGCCTCCTCCTGCTACTTATACTAGTGGCAGGTCCCACTGTGATCCCGCCTCCTCCTGCTACTTACACTAGTGGCAGGTCCCACTGTGATCCCGCCTCCTCCTGCTACTTACACTGGTGGCAGGTCCCACTGTGATCCCGCCTCCTCCTGCTACTTACACTAGTGGCAGGTCCCACTGTGATCCCGCCTCCTCCTGCTACTTATACTAGTGGCAGGTCCCACTGTGATCCCGCCTCCTCCTGCTTCAACTCATCTCACCGCAGTATATAAGCCACCTCTCTGGCCCTATGCTGCACTTCCTACAAGAGTGATGGACTGAACACATTGATTCCAGGTTGAGGGACTGATTACCTCAAACTTCTCCTCTCCTTACCCATTTCTACTTTGTACTGGACTGATGAAGCCACTGTGTGGCGAAACGTTTCTTCAATAAAGATTCCCATGTGTTGCATAAGTGTCTCAATTCTTCAAGTTATACCATGAATTAAGGAAAGATCCTGGACTTCACCTTACGAAACAGACAAAGCAAATGCGATGTAATTATGGACCATATAGATTATAGTGGAAAAATGAACATGTCATCAGAAGCCGGGGGTACCTACGTACCTCTTAATAGCTCCCCAACGAGAAATTTAGCAAAGAATCCCTTAGCAGTAACACTGACAGTTTCCGTGTTAGCAAGATTATTAATTGTTCAATAAAGCCTAGAACTTTATTACACAAGGAGCAGAGAAAGTTCAGTTAGTACGTTATAGTTGCCAGAGCTTTCATAAGCTGTGATTCTGTATCGAGACACTGAAACACTAAGATACACTAGAGAACATCAGTTTTATTTTTTAAGGTGTGTTATGCAGTACATTCTTTTAGTTCTGTGAGGGTCAAGAAGTATTTCCTGCATAAATGTCTTAATTCAGAATTGAACTATAAGCATTTTTGGTTAATAATTTCTGTAAAGCATTTCTCGTCAGTTAAACTAGCTAATATTGCAATGTTTCATTAAGTCTGTACCCACTCCCCATACATACAAATATTAATAGCAACCTTCCTCGAGGGTGGTGAAGACATGCACTTGAGAGGGCTGCGAGACTCCCAGGTCGTTGTGAGCCATGAGACGGACTGCGTAGGTGTGATAGGGAGTTAGACCCGTCAACACGTGCCATGATGCCCACTGGCCCACACTCACGTTGCGACCATGCGATACCCATGACTCTTCCTCAGCTGTGGAGATAAGCAATGGTAGCCACAGTGGAGGTAAAACTTACCGAGTGTTATTTATTATATCAAAATATACTTGTAAGCACAGAGTATGGAAATTTAATATTAAACATAAGATTAAATAAACGAGGACAAGAAGTGTCATGATTCTGTTACTCACCTCTGTATTGTATGGTGACAGCGGCTGGCTGTGGGAGGGACCACGAGATGCGAGCAGATCGACTCCCAATCTCAGACAAGACCACTCCTGTAGGTGCTGTTGGCGGCTCTGACAGAGAGGGGAAAAAACATAGCGTTAAACGAAGAAAATTTATTCTTGAATCTTGTCATGTTTTTAAATATATATATATATATATATATATATATATATATATATATATATAATATATATATATATATATATATATATATATATATATATATATATATATATATATATTTTTTTTTTTTTTTTTTATTATCACACCGGCCGATTCCCACCAAGGCAGGGTGGCCCGAAAAAGAAAAACTTTCACCATCATTCACTCCATCACTGTCTTGCCAGAAGGGTGCTTTACACTACAGTTTTTAAACTGCAACATTAACACCCCTCCTTCAGAGTGCAGGCACTGTACTTCCCATCTCCAGGACTCAAGTCTGGCCTGCCGGTTTCCCTGAATCCCTTCATAAATGTTACTTTGCTCACACTCCAACAGCACGTCAAGTATTAAAAACCATTTGTCTCCATTCACTCCTATCAAACACGCTCAAGCATGCCTGCTGGAAGTCCAAGCCCCTCGCACACAAAACCTCCTTTACCCCCTCCCTCCAACCCTTCCTAGGCCGACCCCTACCCCGCCTTCCTTCCACTACAGACTGATACACTCTTGAAGTCATTCTGTTTCGCTCCATTCTCTCTACATGTCCGAACCACCTCAACAACCCTTCCTCAGCCCTCTGGACAACAGTTTTGGTAATCCCGCACCTCCTCCTAACTTCCAAACTACGAATTCTCTGCATTATATTCACACCACACATTGCCCTCAGACATGACATCTCCACTGCCTCCAGCCTTCTCCTCGCTGCAACATTCATCACCCACGCTTCACACCCATATAAGAGCGTTGGTAAAACTATACTCTCATACATTCCCCTCTTTGCCTCCAAGGACAAAGTTCTTTGTCTCCACAGACTCCTAAGTGCACCACTCACTCTTTTTCCCTCATCAATTCTATGATTCACCTCATCTTTCATAGACCCATCCGCTGACACGTCCACTCCCAAATATCTGAATACGTTCACCTCCTCCATACTCTCTCCCTCCAATCTGATATTCAATCTTTCATCACCTAATCTTTTTGTTATCCTCATAACCTTACTCTTTCCTGTATTCACCTTTAATTTTCTTCTTTTGCACACCCTACCAAATTCATCCACCAATCTCTGCAACTTCTCTTCAGAATCTCCCAAGAGCACAGTGTCATCAGCAAAGAGCAGCTGTGACAACTCCCACTTTGTGTGTGATTCTTTATCTTTTAACTCCACGCCTCTTGCCAAGACCCTCGCATTTACTTCTCTTACAACCCCATCTATAAATATATTAAACAACCACGGTGACATCACACATCCTTGTCTAAGGCCTACTTTTACTGGGAAAAAATTTCCCTCTTTCCTACATACTCTAACTTGAGCCTCACTATCCTCGTAAAAACTCTTCACTGCTTTCAGTAACCTACCTCCTACACCATACACTTGCAACATCTGCCACATTGCCCCCCTATCCACCCTGTCATACGCCTTTTCCAAATCCATAAATGCCACAAAGACCTCTTTAGCCTTATCTAAATACTGTTCACTTATATGTTTCACTGTAAACACCTGGTCCACACACCCCCTACCTTTCCTAAAGCCTCCTTGTTCATCTGCTATCCTATTCTCCGTCTTACTCTTAATTCTTTCAATTATAACTCTACCATACACTTTACCAGGTACACTCAACAGACTTATCCCCCTATAATTTTTGCACTCTCTTTTATCCCCTTTGCCTTTATACAAAGGAACTATGCATGCTCTCTGCCAATCCCTAGGTACCTTACCCTCTTCCATACATTTATTAAATAATTGCACCAACCACTCCAAAACTATATCCCCACCTGCTTTTAACATTTCTATCTTTATCCCATCAATCCCGGCTGCCTTACCCCCTTTCATTTTACCTACTGCCTCACGAACTTCCCCCACACTCACAACTGGCTCTTCCTCACTCCTACAAGATGTTATTCCTCCTTGCCCTATACACGAAATCACAGCTTCCCTATCTTCATCAACATTTAACAATTCCTCAAAATATTCCCTCCATCTTCCCAATACCTCTAACTCTCCATTTAATAACTCTCCTCTCCTATTTTTAACTGACAAATCCATTTGTTCTCTAGGCTTTCTTAACTTGTTAATCTCACTCCAAAAACTTTTTCTTATTTTCAACAAAATTTGTTGATAACATCTCACCCACTCTCTCATTTGCTCTCTTTTTACATTGCTTCACCACTCTCTTAACTTCTCTCTTTTTCTCCATATACTCTTCCCTCCTTGCATCACTTCTACTTTGTAAAAACTTCTCATATGCTAACTTTTTCTCCCTTACTACTCTCTTTACATCATCATTCCACCAATCGCTCCTCTTCCCTCCTGCACCCACTTTCCTGTAACCACAAACTTCTGCTGAACACTCTAACACTACATTTTTAAACCTACCCCATACCTCTTCGACCCCATTGCCTATGCTCTCATTAGCCCATCTATCCTCCAATAGCTGTTTATATCTTACCCTAACTGCCTCCTCTTTTAGTTTATAAACCTTCACCTCTCTCTTCCCTGATGCTTCTATTCTCCTTGTATCCCATCTACCTTTTACTCTCAGTGTAGCTACAACTAGAAAGTGATCTGATATATCTGTGGCCCCTCTATAAACATGTACATCCTGAAGTCTACTCAACAGTCTTTTATCTACCAATACATAATCCAACAAACTACTGTCATTTCGCCCTACATCATATCGTGTATACTTATTTATCCTCTTTTTCTTAAAATATGTATTACCTATAACTAAACCCCTTTCTATACAAAGTTCAATCAAAGGGCTCCCATTATCATTTACACCTGGCACCCCAAACTTACCTACCACACCCTCTCTAAAAGTTTCTCCTACTTTAGCATTCAAGTCCCCTACCACAATTACTCTCTCACTTGGTTCAAAGGCTCCTATACATTCACTTAACATCTCCCAAAATCTCTCTCTCTCCTCTGCATTTGTACGTATATATATATATATATATATACGTACAAAGATGTTTTCAAACATCTTAAACCTGGAGTTGAGGGACAGAGTATGAAGAAAGAATGAAAGAGATGAACTTGACATATCTAGGGGAGGAAAGTACAAGAGTAGAGAGAAGAATGTACATTATACTGTGATGTATTAACACAAGGACACTAGACTAAAGCTGATGTCAATTATGCTTCATGTGCTGAGTAACACTGTTATACTGTTTTTTTAAATCATTCTGATATATAGAAACTGGTAAAGGAAAATAAAGAGGTGTAGTCGTGAACACTATATAGTGAACCAACAGTAGATATGAATAAACTCAGGTCAGGAACTGCCTACTCCGGTTGACTGAAAACTATGGCACTGGTCCAGTAGCTGGAATGTAAATCGTACTGAGTTACATTCCAGCCAATCTTTTCTCATTTCTTATTCCTGTTATACCTGAAAGAAATTGTTTGGTTTATCTTTGACAGTTTTATATCTTTACTTTCATGTTTTTTTAAACTTTCTTACTCCTGTTTTTTTTTAAACCTTGGTTGATTTCACCCGATACCAGTAAATGTCTCTCTTTTCAGCCATAAGATGTTTTACTGCTTTGTTTTTCAATTTAGGTTGATTTACATTGATCAAGTTTAATCTACACATATCTGCTTCTTGGGAAGCCTGATAAGATATCCTAAATCTATATCTGTTTTCATGAATCGGAAATTTTTGGCTCGGTGTAAATTGATCTTAGGCGCAATTTAAAATTTTAGCAAGTCTGTCGTCGATTTGCTGCCAGATGGCACTTTTAAGAACACAAGAAAGGAGGAACACTGCAACAGGCCTACTGGCCTTTTGCCACATTTTCTCAAAAGACTGGTTAGATTCGTTTGGGTTTTGTCAGGTGGTCACTTAATCCAGTATAATCCACAGAGGGTCAATCAGTGCAAGGTCACTGAGTTGAGTGTTGTGTCGGCACGTTGTTCTTACTGGTTACAATAATGTCAAATAGTCTGTTGTAGTCCTGTCGATGTTTCATACTTACTTATTACAGCGATGCCAAAAAGGTGTGAGTAGCCGTGTGGGTTCTATTTACCTATGACAGAGATGTCGAAGAGTTGTGAGTGGTCGCCATGAGGGTTGGTGGCGCGGCAGGTGTAGGGGCCAGCGTCCGCAGCTGTAACCGCCCGGATCTCCAACACAGACTTCACCGACGTGGGACCACCGCTCTTCCTTACCGACACCCTGATGCCAGGAAGAGAGTAACAGAACATGCAAGTCATTCGCTCCCTAATGCTTGAAAGATAATATCAGTACATGCAAGGTGTGGTATGCTAAGAATATGTTACAATTTATTCGACGTATGTCACATACCCATTTAGGCATGCCTTCCCAACCAGCAAACCAGGTGCTAAGGGTATAATGAGAAATGGGCCCCCCATTGTTATGCTAATACCTTTGTTCAACCAGCTAATCACAAAGAAGCCAACCAAAGTTACGAAGCGATGTGATACACTCATGAGTCAACCTTGGCAGACTTACCTAGAAACCTGGTCAAAGACTGTTCTCACTGTGTTAGTTGCTTACATTGCCTTATTGTACATATCTGTATATATATTGTACACTCATTACTTCCTGTCTTCCTGCCTTTTTTCTCGTTCCTACTTTGGTTATCGTGCTTCAACCAGGTGTGCAGGCCACTAGACTACACCTGTGTTCGTTATATGGAAGCTTTTTCCGGGAGTCTTTGTCTCTGCATTGTCTCTACGAGCCTGCCTACAGTACTGCATTGTAAATCTGTGAAGTCGTCGTGTACTGGTTGGTATGTCTGGGCACTGCGTACTGGTTGGTATGTCTGGGCACTGGGTACTGGTTGGTATATCTGGGCACTAGGTACATGTTGGTATGTCTGGGCACTGGGTACCGGTTGGTATGTATGGGCACTGGGTATTGGTTGGCATGTCTGGGCACTGGGTATTGGTTGGTATGTCTGGGCACTGGGTACTGTTTGGTATGTCTGGGCACTGGGTTCTGGTTGGTATGTCTAGGCACTGAGTACTGTTTGGTATGTCTTGGCACTGGGTACTGGTTAGTATGTCTGGGCACTGGGCTGACAGACTCATGAAGACTCTACTGATATAACTAAGGCCTCCTGCCGTGAAAAACGAATTTCAGCCTTGCACACATATATGTTTATCGAACAATGTGCCCAGTTATTATAACATAAACACTCTTTATTATACAATGATTTAATCAGAGGGGAGGTTTTAATTACCGATAAAATAAAATACCTGACCGTGATGTGCCCATTCTGTATCGTAAGAACACAAGTTGCAGACTTAGGAGTGAGTGTTGTGCACTTTGTCTATCACAAGAACAGAGGAAATACTTTTATTAGTAATGCCAGTTAAAACAGTAACAATTACACGCTAACAACACCAGTAATTACAAAATTAACAGTAGCAACAGCACCAGCTGAAACCAATTAACCAGCTGTTGCACCTACAGTTACAACGAAAACAATATCAGTATTACCAGCTAACATATAGTCACCAGCTTTTGCACCTCCATCAATAACATTATTGATACCACATCATCAATGACACCAGCACCAGCATCAACACACTTCGTTAAATCACCACCAGCAGGAGCACCAACATCACAATACTATCAGTAACGCTAACATTATTACAGAACCATCGGCAATGCTGGTATCATAATACTATCGTAAACAATTACTCTCAAAAAGCCAGCAGTAATACCATCAGCACCACAACAATGACGGTAACATCAGTATACATGTATGGTACACAGTATCAACAAGATAAAGAATTGGACACGTGCAACATCTGGGTATCTTTATTTGTAGACATATCGTAATCCAGTGGTTTTATCAGTACAAGTTCAAGTGGTAGAGGCTAGGACCTTGTGTAGCTTTGAAGAGATTGAACAAATATATGAGTGGGAGGGGCTGGGTTTGATTGGTGTCGTGGGTAAAGAAGTAAATTATTGGGTAGCTTTGGGTAGTGGTGGTTTTGAGAAGGACCTGCCTTGTATGGGCCAGTAGGCCTTCTGCAGTGTTCATCAATTCTTATGTTCTTGATGTATTAATAGTTTATATTCAAGGGAGGTACGACCTACTTCCAATGCTGAATCCCATTTACTAGTGGCAAAACCTGCATCTTCAGCGCATCCCTCTTCTGACGGGGGTATATAAGCACCAATCTTCATGATTGCACAACTTGTCAGACACTGCAACATCATGGAATCTTGGTTCAGAGGACATCTACAAGACCTTCTTCACGGCTGCTGCAACTAACCCATCTCTTTGGGAAGGACCTACTTCCACTGGGGAATCCCGCCTACCAGTGACTGCCCTCGTCTGCTGCCCGTCCCTATCCACTGACGCCTATATAAACCGCCAGTCTTCTTGCCTTTGCTCCAGATTCTCCTCCACCACGATGCTGTGAACACTAACTCCAAGGCTGAGGGACTGATTACCTCGTCTTTCGTATACACTTCTACATTTTTTCCATTATATCCTTGAATTTGTATCGACAAGGCCACTGGAAGGCGAAACATCTACAAATAATAATACCCACATGTTACACTTCGGTAACACTATATTATCATCGCAGCACCAACAGTGATATCATTATCACAGCAACAGCAGTAAAACATTATCATCACAAAACAACAGTATTACCATTATCATCACAAGAACAGGTGAACAGCATTGAAATAACGGTAAAGAGGTTTTCATAGCTTAAGGATTTGGAGACGGTGTATGATGGGATCAGTGGCAGATGTTGCTAATTTATGGTATAGGTGAAAGCTTACTGAAAGCTGCGAAGAGCTATAGCTTTGTTTCCTTAATTTAATAGAGACAAAACTTGTACTCTTGTTAGGATTTTTAACTTTTGTCTGGACTTGGATGTAATTACGTTTATAAGATAATATTAGTCATCACCATTTCTTTCAAAGGCCTTCAGCCTATCATGCGAATAACTCCTTGTCCGGAAGCCTGGTCGTGGACTGGGCCTCGGGGACGTTTATCTCCGGAATACCCTCCAGGTAGTCTCCAGGTAGCCTTGCCTTATGGTTTGGGTCACCCACAAGATGCGAGACGAGACGAGCAGCACGATCAAATATATTATAGATCGGAAACTGAAGAATTTAGATTTTTGGGAACACTGCTCTTCCTTCACCTTTGATCTACCCATCTACTACTTTACGAGAACTCGACATTGCAAGTCCATAATCTTGTCGAAGGTCTCAACTTGGGAACTGTGCTGTTCCTTCACCTTTCCTTTAGATCTACACTCCAGTATCATTAGAACTCTGCTGTTGCACCACTTCGCTGCAGGTCAAAAGCCTCACTTGAGAACTCAGTTTCTCTATACAACCAGGGCAGACCTACTATCTCAGCAACACACTGAGGAACTTGCCTTTTTTTTTATACTCTGTTGCCGATCTCCAGTTGACTACCACTACCGACTTACCGTTACGTAAGCTGCTACCTGAGTATCTTTATAGGCATTGTAACCATCTGGAGCGGGACTTCACAACAGTCACGAACACCTGTGACCTTCCTCTATCTCCAGCGTCCCGTTACACTCCAGCTATTCCTGAGCCTTGCCATAACACCGCCAGATTCAGAAGAACATCTTTCTGTACACATTAGGCTTCTTCATTTGATTTATTCATTTATTTACCTCAGTCAGGACTATTTCATATTGTTTCATATTTTAAGAGATTTGCTTATATTCAATAAAAAATTGATTATCTTATTTTGTTATAATTTATCTTTCAATGTTTTCTTTTCATAAGGAAGAGGGAGCTCCTTCAAAATCTCTTTGAGAGTTTGAAGGCCTCTTACACCTTTGCAGGTCTTTGCTATATTTTAGTTGTGATTACCTAAGACTTATAGCAGCTGAACCTTAATCGTAGTTTGTTATGGCTACCGTCTTGTGTCCCACGGGGCTGAAAGAGGGTGGATGCACCACTTGTTCGCCCTGCCCTATACATATGTTCCACTGTATCAAGGGTAAGTGTCTGGGTCGATCACATGTTTTACCAGGTCTGGGCGGATCACCATCTAGTCATGGTGTCTGATGCTATTCACTGTCCTTAAGTACAATAAATTATGTCCGTATCTGTACAACGTTTATATTTACAGGTGCCACAATTGGCTGCACTCCGTAAATATTAAGAGATTGAAACATAGTTATTGCACTCACCTTGGCCTGTGTAGTGAGGGCCATGTGACACTACCACGGCATCGATGGCTTGATTTAAGATATGATGGTGTTACCCCGATGAATCACGAGGATGTCTTCACTTCTTTGTCACTTAGTCACAATAAACATTGAGTAAATACTGTGGACAGTTCGTTGTACACACTAAAATTCTATTTCACTGCACAAATAGATTGTTCAACGCATAATGCGTCGATTTGTTCAGGATTGATTGACTTCACCATCACTTGTCCACAAGAAAAAATCATAAGCCTTAATATGTCTGTTAATGTAATAAAGTTGGTAGAATTACCGACAATATGTAAAGTAAAAGGACACAAGTGCAACTAATGTGACATTTATTGTGGCAACGTTTCGCTCTCCAGGAGCTTTATCAAGCCATTACAAACAATACATGGACACAGAGGGTATATAAAGGCTCTGAGTGAGGTGCAATACTCAGAGCCTTTATATACCCTCTGTGTTCATGTATTGTTTGTAATGGCTTGATAAAGCTCCTGGAGAGCGAAACGTTGCCACAATAAATGTCACATTAGTTGCACTTGTGTCCTTTTACTTTACATGTCTGTTAATGTTCTCCAGTAGGGAGTTTATGGCGATACCTCGCTTAGCAGAGTTACCTGCGTCTCAACACTACATTTTGCTTAAATCTTTGATTAATGTTCCATGGCAGGAAGAGCTACTGGCGATACCTTACTTACGAGAGTTACGACTATGGATTTACCCGTTTCAATGCTATGGATTCGCCTGGTCACTAATTTGTTGTCAGATCGTTACTGCCGGAATCATTCTCACTTTACAACGCAGATGTGACGAAGCTGATTAGATAAGGCGTCCTCAGATTGCAAATAGTGTGAAGAAAAACAAATCAGGCAACCACTGAATGATATCCCTTCTGGAATACCTGATAAATACTTACTGTATTCGGCAACATGTGTTCTTAACACTGACTAGAAGGTCTCTGCATATGGCAAGAGGTGCAGGAATATTCCTTAAGTTATAACAGAACACTGTGGAAAATCTGAAGCGGATTGGATGAGACGTAGTCAAGTTATACACGAGAAAATTAGAGAAAGAATAGTACATTCTGCAACGTATCTATAAAACATTGACCAATGGGAGTAGGATCAGTGTCTTTGTCTTCATACCTGACAGCAAATGCCTTTCCTCCAACTGAATCCATAATGGATTAGTTAACGATGTACTCATCGTTGTAGTTAAGTGTCTCATTTTAGGTTGACACACTATTACCTCGTTTATGCACGAAATAGTGCGTGACGAATTATGGCTGTATATATCCCGGCAATATAACTAATACTGCCAGAGTTCATTAGTTCTCTCGTTTCTGTAAGTACCACCCATGTCAACAATAGTTTACCATCAGTTTGCCATTTAGAAAAACATCTCCAGTCATCTCACAAGTGCCAGTCAGTCCACACAGTAGCTCCTGACTCCTACTGACAATGAAGATTTTTTTAGTTCCCACAGTTAATTTCCCCCTTAAACCTGCGAAATCTATTGCGGACAACCCATAATTACTAACGCCAAACTTTCCTGTACCGCTCACTGGCAACTGTGTCCCTTGTACGCAATGTCGACCCTGCCTGTTTTATATTCAACTCCCTCTGTTGTCCTGTTTAACCAACAGCAAACTCAGATTTTCCTCCCCAGCTTCATTACTGCAGCTAGGGACTGCTCTATAGCTACTGTTTTTAGCTTAATGCTCATTGAAGCATTTTAGCAAGTGAACATGCTGACAGGACGAGAATTTAACTAACACCTGACGCATTATCCTTATGACACGTTTTGGGACACGATAGCAAAAAAAGAATGATTTACCAATGTATTACAGGTTTAAAAAAACAGGCAGCCGATACTCAGAATAACTCTTAAGCCATTTTCCTCAGTATGGAGGGAAGAAAATATGTAAACATTCCCTGACTCACGAATAAGTTGATTTATTGCCTATTGCGTTGAGAAACTGCCCTTCGAATGACTCGTAAACATCCGACTGTATTAAGGTGGTATAAACAAATTATTACCTACGTTAATCCATGACAGTGATCAACACTCCTGTTGTTTTCCCAATCTAAAAGTTGTCTGACTCATTTCCTGCAATAAACAATACATCCCCAAGCCCAACCAAAAATTTATCTTGAAGGTTCTCTGCCGGATGGCGCACGAGTCCAAGATATTAAGCATCTTCTAAGCGTATTTTCGGGAATATCTGTTCCCTGCTCAGAAGGAATTCCACCTAAATCTTCTAAATTGAATTTATTTTTTACTTAACTTATTAAGTCTTTTAAAAAATAATAATTGCAGAATCTAGAGGAATAGGATAAAATAAAAGGTATTTGGTAGCTACGTTTTTTAAGACCGTAGACGGGCATGAAATGATGCCTCATGCCCCGGAGGCATGAAAAAAAAAGTAAGAAGATAAAATGCAATTAACAGAACCAAATATAGGTAAGTGATGCAACTGATAAATGTTATTTCTGTCAGCTTCTTGATCACAAGACTTGCTCAAGTAACATGAACAGATTAAGACACATGTTCAGCTGTTGCACATGTGTCTTAATCATCAACCTGTCGGTATTTTAGACCATTATCAACATGAACAGTGTCGAGTAACATTATATGACTCTATGGGGCCACATTAACTCGCATGTGTAGGGAAGTAAAAGAGGGAGTTGAATGTGAGGTGGATCAAGGGATGTAGTACTTGATCCACCAGTAGACTGAAGTGTATAACAATATACAAAAAGGAAATACCCTCTGTATTTAAGAATTTAAGCATAAGCAATATTCTGATTGATTTTCCCCTTTGATAAAATAATTCAGTGCAATAATTTAATAATCACATACTCAAAGACTTTAGAAAAGCGCTGTGTTGTGACGACTGTTACCTATTAACAAAATATATTTATTTTTCACATATATAAGCTATATATAGCTCACTTACATTTAACTAATTAAAGTGTCAGGTAAGTCGGTGTAGGAGTGAGAATACCAGCAACTTAAGAGACTTAGTATGTGTATAATTAAGACTAAGTTGGGTAACGCAGTGGATAAGGGGGACCATAAATCTACGAAAATAATTATGAGAGTTAATAGATATGAGAGATAACAGTTTTTTTTTTTAAATGTTAAAGGAAATGTCTGTCTAACAGTAGGTATTAAGGATTTTTAATGAATATGAAGATATTTAAGAGTGTTGTTAAGAACATCGATGAAAACGGCGGTTCATCATTGCTTCCACTGAGGGGAAAACCGTAACCTGGTGAGTACCTGTAACCTGGTGAGTACCTGTAACCTGGTGAGTACCTGTAGTGTGGTGAGTACTTGTAACCTGGTGAGTACATGTAACCTGGTGAATACCTGTTACCTGGTAAAGACCGATCCTGGAGTCCCTGTAACTTGGTTACTGGTCACCTCGTGAGACCCCGTTCTTGATCATATAGTGTGACTGTGAGTACCTCTTACCTGGTGAGTACCTGTACTCACCGACTTGTTTGCGGGAATCGAGACTGAGATTCAGGCCAGTCTTCTAACAGCCTAGTTTGCATCGCTGTACTCTCCAGTCTCGTCTAGGTCAGAAAGTACAGTACCTTACGGAGGATCGATCCTACAACCTTCCCCTATTCACTTCCGTCATTACTTCCTCCATGACTATTTCCACCAACTATTCAGATACGTCATATTCATTTTCGTAAGAACCAGATCACGTTTTTATCGTTTACTTCACAAGCTGAGCTTAGAAAGCTCTTCGTTATTGCTTCTAGAATTTTAGGAGTCAGCTTTCTAGTCCTTCACAAGGGTTCTAGCTTTTCCCAATGTATTTCCTTAAGGTAGAAATCTTCTAGTACTTAAAGTTTAGAATTCCCTCTTCTGATCTCACTGTTACTTTAAATTATGCAACATTTCCCTTTCAATCTTATTGTTTGCTGGCGGACTAAACATCACTGCCGTTATTACCTTCGTCTCTCACATTCTAATTCCTGCAATTCCTTTTATTTCTCAAGTTTCCTACTCCTATTTTAGCCCTGTCTCTCTTTACCATTTGGTATCACATTTCATAAAATTTTACGAGACTTTCGCTTCCCTGATAGTTCCATTACCAGGTATACTTACTCTCTTTTTCTTTCGTGACTTCACATTTCTTGGTGACCTCGTTGGCACCTGAGCACCACACTTAAATGTAGATGGAATCACCATCAGATATGGAGTTGTAACAGGTAGAGAATGTGTGGGAAAACCCAATGTCTCAGTATTGTCGTATGATGAGTACATATGTACCTATGTACTGCACAGGTTACATAGCGAGTATGAATGATTTGATGAGTACCTCTGACCTAGTGAGACTCTGCGATTTGGTCAGTACCTGTGACTTGGTGATAATTTGTGATATGGTGACCACCTGTGACCTGTTGATAATCTGTGAACTAGTACATGTGACCTGGTGTATAAATGAGACCTGATGAGCACATAAGACGTCGTGAGAACCCGTGACGTGATGAGTCGGTGTTATTTCGTGATCTGATGTGTACTTGTGACCCAGTGAAAATTTGTGACTTGGTGAGCACTTGAGATTTGGTGAGCCATGTTACACTGTGAGTACTTGTGGTCTCGTGAGTCCTTGACTTGTTGATTACTACTAGCTATTTGAATACCAATGATCTGAAGATTACCTGTACCCTGGAAAATACCGGTGACTACTAGAGAACCTGTGACCTGGAAAGTACTTGTGATGTGGTGAGTACCTGTGTCCTGGAGATATAGGTGAATGGTGACGGTGCCAGGTGAGTGAGAGAGGGTCATCACCTGTAGCATCACACTCTACCGTCATTGTCTGACCAGCGTGTCCAGTCACCAGTCGACCTTCCGTCACCACACGCGCTGGCGCTGTCAGTAACAAGGTACACATGTTACTACTCATCCTACACATGTTTTGGGGCAAGAAGCACATGTTATGCTGCAAAAAAATCACATAGACCAAGATACATATATTATGGAGCAATTATCATAATTATTGGTCAAGGAACACATGTTGTGGGATAAGTCAACATATGTTACTGGGCAAGGAACACATGTTGTGGGATAAGTCAACATATGTTACTGGGCAAGGAACACATGTTATGGCACAAGAAACACATGTTATTTAAAAAATAGTTGAAATTTGCTTTCTTTTCTCCTTGTTTGATTAACCATTTAGCATATAAACATCAAAATGTTTTAACAATTAAAATATTGCTCACACAAAGGAGAAATTTAATCGACTGTTTCTCAGATTTTCTAATTTTTTCGAAATATTTATCTCACATGTTTCTGTTCAGAAGCTCCATCCCCTTAACTCCCCTACATATGACAGTTGTCTTTGACATTATGCCACATTTTCCGGAGTCTCGCAGTCTCCACTGATATCTTACTGTCTCCTCTGTCTATCTACAACCGTCTTGACACCTCACTATCTTCACTACGATCCCACAGCCTTTGCTAATTTTGCACAGCCTTCACTTAATTTAAATCCCACAGCGTTGCCCAACTTCTCCCAGTTGCCACTTCCTTCCAGAGCAAAAACATCTACTTTCAGCTATTGAGATCTGTCACTTACCATGGACTGTGACTTGGACGATTTTGGAGATGGGTTTCCCGACGGAGTTGTCGGCGCTACATATGTACCAGCCGGCGTTGGAGGTGGAGAGATCGGTCAAGATAAGTGAGCCATTGAGCGCTTGTGACAACCTCACGCTGTCCACCACCAACCCCTGGAAGTCCTCAGCTAACTCACCTAAAAAAAAAAGGAATGAGGGTGATAGAAAGAGAGTAAGGGAAGCATTTTCGGACATTCATTGAGAGGGAAAGCTGCAAGGAGGGTGATAATGATTAGCAGAAACAAATGAAGCAAAGAGAAGTATTGAAAAACAAGAGAGAAGAGGAAGGAATGAACATTACGGAGACAACAAGTATGATCTCCATCACTGGTATCTGTGAGAATAACCAAGCTTTAGTGAGGGTGTATTTACTTCTCTCTAGGTAGATAAGATTATTATTAAATAGCAGAAGGATCTCCAACTACTTCTCTAGCTCCCGATACGAGAGGAAAATTCTACGGCATCAGGGAATAGAGTTGTCAAATCTAGTAACATGAGGTACTATAAGTTAAGACGTCATATAGAAGCCGTGTATTAATGCAGAGTAACCTATTGAGATCCTAACGCATCTAGGTACACTGGTACAAGATACACAAGATACACATAGGTACAGTGGTACAAGATACACAAGATACACATAGGTACAGTGGTACAAGATACACAAGATACATATAGGTACAGTGGTACAAGATACACAAGATACACATAGGTACAGTGGTACAAGATACACAAGGTACACATAGGTACAGTGGTACAAGATACACAAGATACACATAGGTACAGTGGTACAAGATACACATAGGTACAGTGGTACAAGATACACAAGGTACACATAGGTACAGTGGTACAAGATACACAAGATACACATAAGTACAGTGGTACAAGATACACAAGGTACACATAGGTACAGTGGTACGAGATACACAAGGTACACATAGGTACAGTGGTACATAATACACAAGGTACACATAGGCACAGTGGTACAATATACACAAGGTACACATAGGTACAGTGGTACAAGATACACAAGGTACACATAGATACAGTGGTACAAGATACACAAGGTACACATAGGTACAATGGTACAAGATACACAAGATACACATAGGTACAGTGGTACAAGATACACAAGATACACATAGGTACAGTGGTACAAGATACACAAGGTACACATAGGTACAGTGGTACAAGATACACAAGGTACACATAGGTACAGTGGTACAAGAACACAAGTACACATAGGTACAGTGGTACATAATATACAAGGTACACATAGGTACAGTGGTACGAGATACACAAGGTACACATAGGTACAGTGGTACGAGATACACAAGGTACACATAGGTACAGTGGTACATAATACACAAGGTACACATAGGTACAGTGGTACAAGATACACAAGGTACACATAGGTACAGTGGTACATAATACACAAGGTACACATAGGTACAGTGGTACGAGATACACAAGGTACACATAGGTACAGAGGTACATAATACACAAGGTACACATAGGTACAGAGGTACATAATACACAAGGTACACATAGGTACAGAGGTACATAATACACAAGGTACACATAGGTACAGAGGTACATAATACACAAGGTACACATAGGTACAGAGGTACATAATACACAAGGTACACATAGGTACAGAGGTACATAATACACAAGGTACACATAGGTACAGAGGTACATAATACACAAGGTACACATAGGTACAGTGGTACATAATACACAAGGTACACATAGGTACAGTGGTACGAGATACACAAGGTACACATAGGTACAGAGGTACATAATACACAAGGTACACATAGGTACAGAGGTACATAATACACAAGGTACACATAGGTACAGAGGTACATAATACACAAGGTACACATAGGTACAGAGGTACATAATACACAAGGTACATATAGGTGGTTGCAACTAGTTTAGTGTTTTAATGAATTAGAGATTGTTGATAATATTATAACGGTGATGATAATAATAATGATAGTAGTGGGTGATAGAATGTAGTTGATAATAATGATAGGAATGACATTAAAATTAGGAAAGGAAGCCTTAGTAGGAGAGTTCACTGAAGGTATTTCCTGAATATTCTGGAAGATTCTGCGACACTGGTTGGCAAATGAGGGATTTTTGGCTCTATTTCATTAGTTAGAAGGTTGTAAATGATGGTATGTAATGATCCACTATTTTAATGTAATTTTTTTATGCCACTTGATTGAACCTAGAATATCCCATCATAGCAAGAACGTACGTGTCCTGCCATACACGGAGAATTTATCAGTCTTGTCGAATGCCCTAAAGAGACTAAATATATAATTTGTTTTTAATAATTCACGGACTATTAAGAGTATGTTGATCAAGAATTCCTGGTAACGTTGTGCAGGTGGTGTGTACAGGATTGGGTGCCAAGGCTGCAACTTATCCTATATGGGACAGACTGGCAAACCTTTAGATGTTAGAATTACACATCAGTATTCAGTAAGGACTGCTCATGAATCAATGGCAATATTAAACCGCACACGAGTTTGCAATAGTCCTGCTAAGTGGTCTGAGGCAAAGGTCATTGTCCCATGTACTTGATGGAACGACTGTACCAAACCAACCCACAAACATCGTGCACCTAGCAGCAGTAGGCATGTTTTATGATGCTAAGACATATGTTATGGTAACCTCGGAACTAATTTCAGTCTACTCCCGTTTGATATACCAGCCATCACATGCAGTCCAAATATTATGAAACCACAAACAAGTCTTATTTAATCAATAACACACTGTGAGTAGCTGCGGATCAAACCCATGACTAGCGACTAGCCGAGGGTCAAACCTTAATCCCTGCACGACATCTTTACAACTCATAAGGTGAGGAAGAATGGACAAATTGTCTGCATAAAAAAATTGTATTTCTCTCCTGTATTCATTACTTTTGTAAAGTAAAAGGACACAAGTGCAACTAATGTGACATTTTATTGTGGCAACGTTTCGCTCTCCAGGAGCTTTGTCAAGCCGTTACAAACAGAGCTCCTGGAGAGCTCTGTTTGATTATTGTGAGACAAAGCTCCTGGAGAGCGAAACGTTGCCACAATAAAATGCCACATTAGTTGTACTTGTGTCCTTTTACTTTACCTATCTGGAGTTTATCTGGAGAGAGTTCCGGGGGTCAACGCCCCCGTGGCCCGGTCTGTGACCAGGCCTCCTTAGGTCAGTGTCCCAGGATGCGACCCACACCAGTCAACTAACACCCAGGTACCCATTTTACTGATGGGGAACATAGACAACAGGTGGAAAGAAACACGTCCAATGTTTCTACTCTGGCTGGGAATCGAACCCAGGCCCTCGCCGTGTGAAGCGAGAGCGTTAACCACCAGGCCACCAGAGCCCTGGTAATTCTACAAACATTAGTACAGTTTGTATAAATGCCAGAATTCAAATCTTACCTAGATATTACTAATGTTAATCTTCAACATGTATTTATAACCCAGTATATTTGTGTTTTTCTCAGAGTTTAATATTATATTAGATGGTCCATACCCCCGGCCGGGATTGAACCCGCGGTCATAGAGTCTCAAAACTCCAGCCCGTCGCGTTAGCCACTAGACCAGCTAGCCACAATAAGATTCATCCAACTAGGTATATTTCTACACCATATGAAGGTTAGCACAGGCACCACTGTGACCACAAATGCAAGTTTTTACAGACGAATCTCCAGCTAGCGTGGCCGTGACGAACTCTAGCTCAAGTCCCTTCACTGCCGTCAACATGACTTAAGAAATCGTAATGACCGCGGGTTCAATCCCGGCCGGGGGTATGGTTTATTTGCAATCGAGTCATTACGATTTCTTAAGTCATATTAGATGGTAATATTAGTTATTAAAAGGAATAATTTTTCCTATATATGTTGTCATCTATATCCTGCTTTAAGCTTTTGTTCGACCGAATAAACGATGTATTTTGTAGTTTTTTACTAATTTAAATTTCTTCTCTCTTTTTTTTTTTTTTTTTTTTTTTGTTTTATGATCTTTGTTTGTTTGTATCATAAAGGAATTTATGAGAAAATTCCTTCATGGTTTAGGAAAAAACAAAAAAGATTTGTTGATTTAGTAGATTATTCAATATAATGTTTTCGTTATTTGTAACGGTTTTCGTTATTTATAACAGTTTTCGTTATTTGTAACGGCTTTCGTTATTTGTAACGGCTTTCGTTATTTGTAACGGCTTTCGTTATTTGTAACGGCTTTCGTTATTTGTAACGGCTTTTGTTATTTGCAACGGTTTCCGTTATTTATAACGGTTTCCGTTATTTGCAACGGTTTTCGTTATTTGCATAGGATAGACTGAGGGCCCTGAATCTGCACTCTCTAGAAAGGCGTAGAATTAGGGGGATATGACTGAGGTGTATAAACGGAAAACAGGAATTAATAAAGGGGATGTAAAGAGCGTGCTAAAAATATATAGCCTAGATAGGACTCGCAGCAATGGTTTCAAGTTGGAAAAATTCAGATTCAGGAAGGATATAGGAAAGCACTGGTTTGGTAATAGAGTTGTGGATGAGTGGAACAAACTCCCGAGTACCGTCATAGAAGCGAAAACGTTGTGTAGTTTTAAAAATAGGTTAGATAAATACATGAGTGGGTGTGGGTGTGAGTTGGACCTGACCACCTTGTGTTACTAGGTCTGATGCCGTGCACCTTCCTTAAGTGGAAGTAACTTGACTAGGTGGGTCATCGGTCTAAGCCGGGGGTTGGCATGGCCCTGCTTCGCATGGGTCAGTAGGCCTGCTTCAGTGTTCATTCTTTCTTATGTTCTTATGTAAAATGGGTAGGATACAAATGGGATAAATAGATAGATAGCGAGAGAGAGAGAGAGAGAGAGAGAGAGAGAGAGAGAGAGAGAGAGAGAGAGAGAGAGAGAGAGAGAGAGAGAGAGAGAGAGAGAGAGAGAGAGAGAGAGAGAGAGCAAAATGATAATTGTGAGACAAGGATACTGAAGAATTAATTGTTGTGAGAAAGAGTCAGGTCCAAACAAGTTCTTGGACAAGCAAACAAGTTCTTGCACAAGCAAACAAGTTCTTGGACAAGCAAACAAGTTCTTGCACAAGCAAACAAATTCTTGCACAAGCAAACAAGTTCTTGCACAAGCAAACAAATTCTTGTGCAAGCAAACAAATTCTTGCACAAGCAAACAAGTTCTTGCACAAGCAAACAAATTCTTGTGCAAGCAAACAAATTCTTGCACAAGCAAACAAGTTCTTGCACAAGCAAACAAGTTCTTGCACAAGCAAACAAATTCTTGCACAAGCAAACAAATTCTTGCACAAGCAAACAAATTCTTGCAAAAGCAAACAAATTCTTGCAAAAGCAAACAAGTTCTTGCAAAAGCAAACAAATTCTTGCACAAGCAAACAAGGAAAGAAGCAGAAAAAACAGGAACATCATAGACTCAGATGAGTCCGCAGGCAAATAAGAAATGTTGAGAATCAAATGACAAATTTAATAGTGATTACGTTACCTGGTGCCTTCATCCAGGTGATGACTGGGGTGGGGTAGCCTCGGGCACTACAGTCGAGCACCAGTGCCGACCCCACCAGAGCCGTGGCACTCAGGGGCTCAACCAGCCAGCGAGGTGTCACCTGCATCATGTAGACACACAAATAGTTGTAATAATGTTGGTAGAATTACCGACAATATGTAAAGTAAAAGGACACAAGTGCAACTAATGTGACATTTATTGTGGCAACGTTTCGCTCTCCAGGAGCTTTATCAAGCCAATGGCTTGATAAAGCTCCTGGAGAGCGAAACGTTGCCACAATAAATGTCACATTAGTTGCACTTGTGTCCTTTTACTTTACACACAAATAGTTATTTAAAAACGTTTAAACATGTACCGTTTTATCTTAAACACTAAATTCGTCTCTGTAGATTGAGAAAATTATGTTAATTGAATATATTGTTTTATATATTCGATCACAATCTCTCTCCAGGTAAACAATCAGAAAAAATGCGATATTCTTTAAAAAAAATTTACTGAATATTAAATGTCACTGTAAGATATGAAAAAATTATTGTTCAGTTTTGACCATGAATGATTTTCACTCCATTTATAAGAACGTATGAAAAGAGGATCACTGCAGCAGGTCTACTGGCCCAAGCTAGGCTCGTCTAATTTACACCCACCTACACCCTCTCATGTATGTAGCTAAGTGGTTCAGAGAACCGACAAGTTGATACATTAAGACACACATGTAACACTTGGGTATGTTTATTGTGCAACACTTGGGTATGTTTATTGTACAACACTTGGGTATCTTTATGTACCTAATTAATCAGTTTATCAGTTCTCTGAATCATTTATCTACAGACACAGAATCATCTTGGGATCTTGATACAGGGAATTCTACGCTTACTTTACCTACGGTCATGATCTACTTCCACCTGTGGATTTATCTAAGGTGACATCCCCTACGACTGCTTCAAGTCTCCTGTCGGTGTATATAAGTCCCTTCGCGCATATGCTAATTGGTCTATAATCTGAAGATAATAACCTATCTCCTGCTACGAAGATATATATACATTTACCATTTTCAACTGGCACTATGCCAGTTTGAACATTAAAATGGTATAAAATACCGACAGGTTGTTAGGTAAGACACATATGCAACAGTTAGGTATCTTTATTTCGAAACATTTCGCCTACACAGTAGGCTTCTTCAGGCGAGTACTTTAAGGGTGATGGACTGATTACATCGTCTTCAAGTATCTTCTGCTTCTATCAACTTTTCTGTACTCGACTGAAGAAGCCTACTGTGTAGGCGAAACGTTTCGAAATAAAGATACCTAACTGTTGCATATGTGTCTTACCTAACACTCTGCCAGTTTGTAGTGATATGTTGAAAAGATTACCCAACGGCTTGCTAAGTTACATTTCTTACATTTCTTTAAAACCAGTGAGAAACCATTTGATTTCAAGCTGTCTGAGAACCATGTCACTAGTGACTTTTATCTCCCATAACTTATTTTCGTCCTGCGTAAAAGGTCAAGGTAAATAATTGTTGAAAATTGTACGCATTTCTTTTTCACTGACAGAGATCTGACCTGAGCAACATTTAAGTGGCTTATCTTCTCCATAATCTTACGCCTCTGGGGCTCTGGTGGCCTGGTGGTTAACGCTCTCGCTTCACACGGTGAGGGTCTGGGTTCGATTCCCAGCCAGAGTAGAAACATTGGACGTGTTTCTTTCCACCTGTTGTCTATGTTCCCCATCAGTAAAATGGGTACCTGGGTGCTAGTCGACTGGTGTGGGTCGCATCCTGGGACACTGACATAAGGAGGCCTGGTCACAGACCGGGCCGCGGGGGCGTTGACCCCCGGAACTCTCTCCAGGTAATTTCCAGGTAATCCAGGTATATACCTGAAAGCAATCTTTTAGGTTGGACTACGATTCCCTGGCGATTTTACTTTCATAGTCCTTATTGGCTTTTCTTATTTATTTAACTAAATAGACTGATTTCTTAAGTGCCCTTCTCCACTTCTGATTTGCCTGTAAATGCCTCTCTGTTTTACTCTGTTGTTTACCCATTTCCATAATTTTGTTTGATTTAATTTCCCTAATTTTCCCTATACTGGCAGCAATCGCCACTTACCTGTCTGCCACCTAGATGACTCTCGAGGACATACTAGTCAGCCTCACGGGGATCCTTGACTTAATTGTAGTTATTAAGATAATTCCTTGATATACTGAAACAGTGATTTATGGTCGCTTTGCCCAGGCTCTTTATTAACCTCATGATAAATAATTAGTGATCCTTTGTTAGTATGAACCAAATTAAGCACGTTATTTCCTCTTGTTAGTTCTGACATAAGCTGATTTTATAAACAATTCTGAATTGTATCAATAAAGTCGCTAGTCTTAAAAATTCCTGTCAAACTGCTCTAATCAATTTAGCTGAAGTTAAAAATCTACCTTAAACACTGCATTTTCGTATCTAGATATCCTAATAATTTCGTTCCATAGATGATTCCCGTGTTTGCTATCTAGATTTGGTGGCCTGCAAAACACACCAAAGTTTAACTTTTCACGTTTCTCTAGAAAATATAGTAAAATAGATTAATTGTTCCTCACTTCTACTTTTAAATTTATCTCTGACCTACATCGCCCTTCTTGTTGACACTATCTGTGTGGAACAGTTTATAGATTTGTTTATGGCATTCACGCGGTATTTCTATATCTGTCAGTTGAATTAACCAGGTCTCTGTTATAACAATAATATCTAAGTTTCCTGTATATGCAATTAAGCTTAATTCATCTTCCTATTTCTAGCGCCTCCTACTATTATTATAGTTAACCTTAAGTGAGTTAGTCACTTGCAACCCTTTACTGTCTCCCTTTGCTTGTTGAACAATAAATTTTCATTTTACTAGTGACTATATGATGAACAATGCCTTTTTAACATTTACCTTAGGTAACTTGGCAATTTTTAGTACTTTTATATCTCGTGCTGCAACCTATTTCCTTCCCACACATATCCATACTTCTGTATTTCATTTAAGCCCTAGACAACACAGCAATGGCCTCCTCGACAGAGTTAACTTAGATTACCACTTCTATTCCAGAGAGATGTACCCCATCCCGTGCATACATATTTACCATAGGAATTGTCTCAGTTGTCAATTTATGGGGAAGCAGGTTCTCTGTAGTACTTGTCTAACCAGCAATTAACACCAAATGCCCTTGACATCTATCATTGCTCACTCGTTTAGAGAAAATGCTTCATATGATCATGACTACTTCCTAAAATCTAATTAAATCTAACACTCTCATGTACTTAACTAGTGCTTCCTGTCTCCTGCCTTTTCCAATATCGTTTCCACCAGCAGTGTGGCAGATAATGAGCTTGTTTCAATTAAGTGACAATATTATCCAGCCTACTGACTATGTTTTAAACATCAGCTCGTGGGAAACATATTCTCTGTCTCACCTTCCTATCTCTGTTACAGAAGGCACGGTCAATATATTTTATCTCTGATTCACCAATCGTAAATATATTCTTACCATTATTGGTGGAGTTGATGGTACCCTTTTAATCACTGATCAATAAAGTGCATTTGTAGTGAACAACAGAGAAACGATTTCCTACATTCATATTTGCTCTTTTAAATATCCTTCTCTTTCTCACTTCCTCACTGTATGTTCTAATACAACACCTTAAGATACATCATTTCAGCCTTGAAGAATTTACTTCTCTCCTCCTTAATATTCTAGGTATAATTAAACAAGAAAAAGAGGTACCCCAGCTCTGTGTGACCTACTTTCACTCTGACGGTGGCGGTGTGGTTGGTGGTGGCAGCGGCATTAGCTGCCTCACAGGTGTAGGCTCCAGTGTGGTGCTCTCGCAGAGTCTTGAATAACAGCACCTGGGAAACACGACACGCTCTCATACATCTATATATTCAATAAGATCACAGTAAACATGATATCACAATATGCAAAACATCCACCTAGAAAAAATAGTGAAATTCCATTCGCTTTTATGAGCTCTCACATTGTTAAGAATCTGTAAAAATAACTGAACAGCAGAAGACTCATATTCTGAGACATCATCTCACTTACAACATTACGAACGTCTGATTATGATGCTTGTGGGATGGTTAATGACTTGTCAAATATAGATTAAATTCTTCCTAAATTTTATTAATTCTGCATTCTGTCTTACCTCTGATTTTTCAATTATAACCCTACCGTATACTTTTCCTGGTATACTCAGTAAACTTATTCCTCTATAACTTTCACAGTCTCTTTTGTCCCCTTTCTCTTTATATAAAGGGACTATACATGCTCTCCGCCAATCCCTAGGTACCTTCCCCTCTTTCATACATTTATTAAACAAAAGTACCAACCACTCCAACACTATATCCCCCCTGCTTTTAACATTTCTGTCATGATCACATCAGTTCCAGCTGCTCTACCTCCTTTCATTCTACGTAATGCCTCACGTACCTCCACCACACTTACATTCTGCTCTTCTTCACTCCTAAAAGATGTTATACCTCCCTGGCCAGTGCATGAAATTACCGCTTCCCTTTCTTCGTCGACATTTAAAAGTTCCTCTAAATATTCTCGCCATCTACCCAATACCTCCCTCTCCCCATCTACTAACTCCCCTACTCTGTTTTTAACTGACATATCCATTCATTTCCTAGGCTTTCTAAACTTGTTTAACACGATCCAAATTTTTTTCTTATTTTCATTAAAATTTCTTGACAGTGCCTCTCCCACTCTATCATCTGCTCTCCTTTTGCACTCTCTCACCACTCTCTTCACTTTTCTTTTACTCTCCATATACTCTACTCTTCGTATAACACTTCTGCTTTGTAAAAACCTCTCATAAGCTAACTTTTTCTCTTTTATCACACCCTTTACTTCATCATTCCACCAATCACTCCTCTTTCCTCCTGCTCCCACCCTCCTATAACCACAAACTTCTGCCCCACATTCTAATACTGCATTTTTAAAACTATTCCAACCCTCTTCATTCCCCCACTACTCATACTTGCACTAGCCCACCTTCCTGCTAATAGTTGCTTATATATATATATATATATATATATATATATATATATATATATATATATATATATATATATATATATATATATATATATATATACCTCTGAAGGAGGGGTGTTAATGTTGCAGTTTAAAAACTGTAGTGTAAAGCACCCTTCTGGCAAGACGGTGATGGAGTGAATGATGGTGAAAGTTTTTCTTTTTCGGGCCACCCTGCCTTGGTGGGAATCGGCCAGTGTGATAATAAAAAAAAAAATATACACAGTCGACCCTTAACTAACGGTGACATTAAGTAACAGCAATTTCGTCTAACGGCGGTATTTGCCATAGAAAAAATGCCTTAACCAACGGCGAAAAACTTAACCAACGACGTTCGTCCGGAACATGTCGATGTGCGCCCAGCCACTCCAAGAGTCAGTGTGTCATTGTTTACAAGCTATTGCGGTCGGTTTCCACGTGTGCCTCCCGTACATTTTGGATTATTTCACTGTTTCTAGTGCTTGTAACCGCTAAATAAGCCACCATGGACCCCACGAAAGCTTCTACAGCTAGCCCTTTGGTAAAGGATGTACGAAACACGATAGAATTCAAGAATTATCATTACTGGAAAAACTATCAAGTACAGAAATAGTGAAATCCAACTAATTTGTTTTTACTATTCAGTAGCAACACTTCTTCACACTTCACATCTCCAACGACACTACAACTCGCCCTCTTCACCATCACAAAACCTGAGTTCAACTCTTATAGTTTATTTCCCTGTCTCATAACCACAACAGCTACAGATACGTCCGATAGTTATTTATATTCTACGCGATAAACACCTTATTTGCCAGCTCAAGAAACTTTTATAAAAGTATTTCTGGCCACTATACAAACTCTGTCCAGCCTCCAACACAGGACCCCGGAGTGGCGCCCGACTCACCGTGGAATAGTCGTGGATCTGCTTGCTGTCGATATCTGGGTCGTGCTGGAGGTGGGCGCCGTCCTTGAGCCAGTTTATGGTGATAGGCAAGTCCCCGGAGATGACCAAGCAGGTGAGCTGTGTGCGGTCTCCCTCGTGCAGGTTAGGACGGAACGTGAACGGCTCGATCACTGGTCGTTCTGCGCAGGAAAATTGTTATAAACAAAACACTGAAAAAGGATACCATGATAAAGGTTCCTGAGCTCAAGGGAAAGCTCTTGAAAAGTGCCTCAGGTGATGATTAAGATTTTTAATAATAATAATAATAATAATAATAATAATAATAATAATAATAATTAAAAATAATAATAATAATAATAATAATAATAATAATAATAATAATAATAATAATAATAATAATTCATGTTAAGCGCTACATTCGAACGTTCTATTGTATTTATGTTAGTTTATATAATGGAAATATATTCACAGTAAAATATTGCCATTAAAAACAATGATTTGGTAAACTGTTATACACACGCACACACACAAACATACACAAAAACACACACACACACACACACACACACACACACACACACACACACACACACACACACACACACACACACACACGCTAAGGGACATCGATACCTCAAAGGCAATGGGACCAGACAACATCTCTCCGTGGGTCCTTAGAGAGGGAGCAGATATGTTGTGCGTGCCACTTACCACAATCTTCAACACATCCCTGGAAACTGGGCAACTACCTGAGGTATGGAAGACGGAAAATGTAGTTCCCATTTTCAAAAAAGGAGACAGAAAAGAGGCACTAAACTATAGACCTGTGTCATTGACGTGTATAGTATGCAAAATTATGGAGAAGATTATCAGGAGGAGAGTGGTGGAGCACCTGGAACGGAACAGGAGTATAAATGTCAACCAGCAAGGATTCACGGAAGGCAAATCCTGTGTCACAAACCTTCTGGAGTTTTATGATAAAATAACAGAAGTAAGACAAGAGAGAGAGGGATGGGTTGATTGCATCTTCTTGGACTGCAAGAAGGCCTTTGACACAGTTCCTCACAAGAGATTAGTGCAGAAGCTAGAGCATCAGGCGCATATAACAGGAAGGGCACTGCAATGGATCAGAGAATACCTGACAGGGAGGCAACAACGAGTCATGGTACGTAATGATGTATCACAGTGGGCACCTGTGACGAGCGGGGTCCCACAGGGGTCGGTCCTAGGACCAGTGCTATTTTTGGTATATGTGAACGACATGACGGAAGGGTTAGACTCAGAAGTGTCCCTGTTTGCAGATGATGTGAAGTTAATGAGGAGAATTAAATCTGATGAGGACCAGGCAGGACTTCAAAGAGACCTGGACAGACTGGACACCTGGTCCAGCAAATGGCTTCTCGAATTTAATCCTGCCAAATGCAAAGTCATGAAGATAGGGGAAGGCACAGAAGACCACAGACAGAGTATAGGCTAGGTGGCCAAAGACTGCAAACCTCACTCAAGGAGAAAGATCTTGGGGTGAGTATAACACCGAGCATGTCTCCGGAAGCACACATCAATCAGATAACTGCTGCAGTATATGGGCGCCTGGCAAACCTGAGAACAGCATTCCGATGCCTTAGTAAGGAATCATTCAAGACACTGTACACCGTGTATGTCAGGCCCATACTGGAGTATGCAGCACCTGTTTGGAACCCGCACTTGATAAAGCACGTCAAGAAACAAGAGAAAGTACAAAGGTTTGCGACAAGGTTAGTTCCAGAGCTAAGGGGAATGTCCTATGAAGAAAGATTAAGGGAAATCGGCCTGACGACACTGGAGGACAGGAGGGTCAGGGGAGACATGATAACGACATATAAAATACTGCGTGGAATAGACAAGGTGGACAAAGACAGGATTTTCCAGGGAGGGGACACAGAAACAAGAGGCCACAATTGGAAGTTGAAGACACAAATGAGTCAGAGAGATAGTAGGAAGTATTTCTTCAGTCATAGAGTTGTAAGGCAGTGGAATAGCCTAGAAAACGACGTAGTGGAGGCAGGAACCATACACAGTTTTAAGACGAGGTTTGATAAAGCTCATGGAGCGGGGAGAGAGAGGGCCTAGTAGCAACCGGTGAAGAGGCGGGGCCAGGAGCTATGACTCGACCCCTGCAACCACAAATAGGTGAGTACAAATAGGTGAGTACACACACACACACACACACACACACACACACACACACACACACACACACACACACACACACACACACACACACGCACACACACACACACACACACACACACACACACACACACACACACACACACACACACACACACACACACACGCTGTGTGTGCCATAACAATTTTCAACACATCCATTGAAATTAGGCAACTACTTGAGGTATGGAAGACGGCAAATGCAGTCCCCATTTAAAAGAAAGGAGACAGATAACAGGCACTAAACTATGGACCAGTGTTACTGACGTGTATAGTAAGCGAAGTCATGGAGAAGATTATTTGGAGGAGAGTGGTGGAGCACCTGGAACGGAACAAACTTATGAACGACAACCAGCACGGATCAGGAAAAGCAAATCCTGTATCACAAACCTAATGGAGTTTTATGACAAGGTAACGGAAGTAAGACACGAGAGAGAGGGGTGATTAGATTGCATTTTCTTGAACTGCAAGAAGGCTTTCGACACAGTTCCTCACAAGAGATTAGTGCAAAAGTTAGAGGATCAGGCACGTATAACAGGAAGAGCACTGCAATGGAATAGAGAATACTTGACAGGGAGGCAACAACGAATCATGGTACGTGACGAGGTATCGCAGTGGGCGCCTGTGACTAGCGGGGTTCCACAGGGGTCAGTCCTATTACCAATGCTCTTTTTGGTATATGTGAATGACATGATGAAAGGGATGGACTCAGAAGTGTCCCTGTTTGCAGATGATGTGAAGTTAATGAGGAGAATTAAATTAGATGAGAATCAGGCAGGACTACAAAGGGACCTGGACATGCTGGAAGCGTGGTCCAGCAACTGGCTCCTCGAATTTAACTCCGCCAAATGCAAAGTCATGAAAATCGGGGAAGGGCAAAGAAGACCGCAGGCAGAGTATAGGCAAGGTGGCCGAAGTCTGCAAACCTTATTTAAGGAAAAGGATCTTGGGGTGAGTATAATACCTAACACATCTCCTGAGGCACACATCAACCAGATAACTGCTGGAGCATATGGGCACCTGGCAAACCTGAGAATAGCGTTCCGACACCTTAGTAAGGAATCGTTCAAGACACTGTACACCGTGTACATCAGGCCCATACTGGAGTATGCAGCACCAATTTGGAACCCACATCTAGTCAAGGACGTCAAGAAAGGTTTGCAACAAAGCTAGTTCCAGAGCTAAGGGGAATGTCCTACGAAGAAAGGTTAAGGGAAATCGGCCTGACGACCCTGGAGGACAGGAGGGTTAGGGGAGACATGGCCACGATACACAAAATACTGCGAGGAATAGATAAGGTGGACAGAGACAGGATATTCCAGAGAGGGAACACGGGAACAAGGGGTCACAATTGGAAGTTGAAGACTCAGATGAGTCAAAGGGATCTTAGAAAATATTTCTTCAGTCACAGAGTTGTCAGGAAGTGAATAGTCTTTCAAGTGAGGTAGTGCAGGCAGGAACCATACATAGCTTTAAGACGAGGTATGATAAAGCTCATGGAGCAGGGAGAGAGAGAACCTAGAAGCGATAAGTGAACATGCGGGGCCAGGAGCTGAGTCTCAACCCCTGCAATCACAAATAGGTGAGTGTGCACACATGCACACCAGCGCTGATGGTATAACGAACAAGTGGGACGAGTGGCACGAAAGAATCAAAGAGGCATTACCAGACATCATAGCAAATACAGAAACCAAGCTCACAGGAATGATGACAGTTGCCATGTTTTCAACAGGATCTTAGATCCTGAGGAAAAACAAAGGGAACAGAGGGGGTGGAGGAGTGGCACCGTTCATCAGAAATCAATGGGATTTTGATGAGCAAAACACTTCAGTCTGGAGGTTCCATGGTGATAATTGCAGTGATGTATAACCCATCACAGAACAGCAGGAGGCCAAGGTAAGAATATCATGAGAGTAAGAGATCAATCAATGGTTGACACACTGGCTGAAGTGGCCAGATGCGCTCATGCAGGCGGGGCAAAACTGTTGATTGTGGGTGATTTCAATCATAAGGAAATTGACAGGGAGAGCCTGGTGCCCCTTGGGGGCCCAGAAACTTGGAGGGCTAAGATGATGGAGGTGGTACTGGAAAATCTCATGTTTAAGGGACACTACAAGAGAGGAGAGAGAGAGAGAGGAGAGAGAGAGAGGAGAGAGAGAGGAAGAGAGAGAGAGAAGAGAGAGAGGAGAGAGAGGGGAGAGAGAGAGAGAGAGAGAGAGAGAGAGAGAGAGGAGTGGATGAGCCAGCAAGACTAGACCTAGTATTCAATTTGACTAGTGCAGATATTGAGTACATCACATTTGAAACACCCTTTGGGGCCAGTGACACTTGGTTCTGAGCTTCGAATACTTGTAGAGTTACAAGCTGAGAGAGAAGTAGGAAGGGCTGGACGAATGAAGCCAAACTACAAGAGAGGGACTACACAGGCATGAATAATTTCCTGCATGCGGTTCAGTGGGTCAAAGAACTGGCAGGGAAGTCAGTAAGCGAAATGATGGGATATGTGACAACAATATGCAAGGAAGCTGAGGAGGTTTGTACCGAATGGTGTAGAGAGGCAAAAACCAAGTGTGCTAGAGAATGAAGAAGTATAGAAGGCAAAGAAATCAGGAGAATAAGGAGAGCAATCGTAGAGCAAGAAATGAATATGCAAAGGTAAGAAGGAAAGTCCAACGACAATACCAAGACGATATAGCAGCGGAAGCCAAATCTTACGTGAATCTGTTGTACAGCCGTATCAGGAGGAAAGCAAGAGTCAAGGACCAGGCAGTCAGGCTGAGGAAGGAAGGAGAGAATATCACAAGAAACGACTGTGAAGTATGTGAGGAGCTCAACATGAGATTCATTGAAGTGTTCACTGAGGAGACAGAAGGAACTCCAGAAAGACGGAAATGTGGGATACACCATCAGGTGTTGGACACAATACATATAACCAAGGAAGAAGTGAAGAGGCTGCTAAGCGAGCTACATA